GCTGAAATAGAGTTACAAAAGCTTGCCAAAAGAAGTAGCCATGCCATTATTTTGTTTAAAGCCTCCTGCGATTTAAATAAAGATAAGAGAGAGAGAGAGAGAACACATGTGACATATGTGGTACATACAAAATTAAAAAGGATCAGAATAAAACCAATTACATTGTAACGCGTACGCGGATGTCTATACACGTAACTATTATTATAAATTGCCTTTTGAAAGCACATGACACGGGAATTCGACATTGAGGGATTAGCAATGGAAAGCGGTGCGCGCACGATGAAATTATCAAAGCCAGAAATAAATGATCGGATTTTGAAATGTGGCTTCGTAAATCGGGGCGAACGACAATGCTGTACCGTTACCGAGGGAAGGCAGTCATATGGGTGTTACGAGAATAAATAACTGCAACCTACTTAAGCGCCTTCGTTATACAGTGAGCTACTCGTACGCCAAAGAGCTCTATCAATCTAAAACACGGATACGAAACGCGGTGCCTCGAATGATCGACTCAACAGACTTGTACTGTCCCAATGAAAGAGATGAAACCGGCTACCCGATATAATGAACCGTCGTAACTGCGAAGCTCTCGATCGAAGTCGTTATGAATGGATGATTCATAAACTAATCTTTAACTTAATCGTTCAAATATATTATCACGTTTCCATCACGAATGTAAATTATTCATAAATAATTGCACAAATATTAATTTGTTAATTAATGTTTAAAGCCTTTTTAAAAGATCCAGTTAATTTGCAACAAAAATTTAAAACAGAAATCTATCTACTAATTTTATGTCACATATCTTAATATATGTTTGTATTCTAATATGTGTGTATATTATATTTACTTCTTCTGAAATGTTTTTTTGTTGTGCTGTACGACATATAAAATTATAAATAAACGTTTACTGTAAGTTAGATTGTCTAAGGTCTTAAATATTCGCAGAGCAAAAATAGTGATATGAAAATTACTTATACTTATTTTACAAAAACGTACGTTCAACATTTTACAACATATTTTTGCAAGAACTTTGCATTCGAATAAAGGTTGATATGTAAAGTTGACGTTGACATTATTTAATATTTATGACTAATGTTAAACACATTGGATTTGCAAGTGATAAACTCATGTAATATTATAATAGCAATGCGCTTTAGCAATATATATATATATTTTTTTGAAGCAAAATATATAATAAAAATTAACTGATAATAACTTTCAAGATAATATAAATTAGATTTAAAAATTCTTAAATAACGGTAAGTATAAAATTTTGTTTTACATGAAAGACGTATTTCCGGGAAAGATTCATTAAAATGTTGGACCTGACCGTGAAACTTGACTCAAACGACTCAAATGTAACGCCGATTTACGTCATAATATTACGAATGTGGCTGCCAAGTTCGAGATTCTTATAACAATTCGTAAATATAAGAATGATAAAAATATGTCGATTGGATTGTTGAATAAGAGTTTATATATTTCGGGAACCCGTGCCTGCACAGACGTGCGTAATCGACCGACTTCCTTCCGTTAGAAACCTGCTGAACCATGCCGGTATATGTGAAACCATCTGGCGCAGGCTATGTAAGCGACCGATGCAACTTGCAACGTATGGAAACCGCACGTACGGCGAAGTTGTTAATAAATAAATTGTATAATGTCTCCCAATCACATTATATACTTAAATCTTATCCATACGGAATTTCTTATACTCAAGTATAAGGAAGGACATATACTCAAAGATATAAAAAAATAGTCTTATATATATATATATTCATAAATTTTTCTCAGAAAATATTTGGAATATTAAAATAGGATTTTTTACCAGTCTATTATATATGTATTTAGTAACATAAAGTAACATTTTTATTGAAAAATTTTTAAAAATGTGGCAGATATTGCTGCTGAAGTCAGATGTGCCTTAATTTTTAACAGCCAAAAAACGATAAATGAAAAATTCGTTCTTTTATTTAATAAGGAAAACAATTAGATATTTAAAGACAAGACTCGTGTGATAATTAAAATTTAGAAAGACAGGGCCAACTATAACGAGCATATTAAATTAAGATACATTAGACTCTAATAATGTCATAATTTTGAATTATTGTTTTTATATTTACTGAAGAAGGCTGAGGTAACCGAAACGTTTTATTATTTTATTCATTGTATCTACTAAGAAATAAATCAATTATGTGTTGACATTACATCTCTCACTATTTAATATGAAAATCGCTTTTATTCTAATAAGTATCATTTTATTTTACAAATTTAAAAATCCGCTACGATAAAGACTATAGCTTTATCTGTATATTTTAAGAATTAATTGAATTTTTTATAAATCATATAGATTGTATTTGAGTACCGTAAAATGCAACAGCATCTGATGTCAGCAGCAATATCCGCCATATTTTTAAATATTTTTTAATACAAAATTTAGCATATATTACTAAATATAAATATAATAGACTGATAAAAACCGCATTATTAATCCTAAAACTTTCTGAGAAAAAAATTCATAAGTGTAGGACTATTTTTTGGTATCTTTTGCGTGTGTCTCTCAAATAAAACTGATATTACACATCGTAAAAAGAATTCTTGTGCTAAATATTATATTACAGCAAAGTGCATTTTGCCGGACAATATCAGATTCATCGTTAAACTTAACACTGATTGATTGATAGTATGTCAGAATTGAACTTCTAAATCGTTATATAATCGATATTAGAAATCGCACGGATATCAGTGTGATAAGAAAATCGAAATTACGATCACGCAAAGCAAAGACGTGTATCATTCCTTACACAATTTTATTTTGATTTATGTATGGTCGGTCGAGTAAAACCAATATCCTCCGTTTAGAGAAGAAATTCGCAGAGGTTAATTCGTCGTGCTATTTAAAAGCCTTCTCGCGCGTATGAGTATCCGTTTACGTTTAAATATTACTTCTGACATGCTACGTACGTTCGCACGATAAAATCAAAATTTTATCTATCAATATCTTCGACGTAACTGAAAATTGCGACAAAATACATTGAATAGCATTTCTTAGGATTTGTGCTTAATTTAGATCCCTGACTGGACGGATAATGTAAAATGTAGATATTCGCTTAAGAAACTATAAGCATATAAAGTCGAAGTGCCGAACTGATGTGCATCGTTGGACATACATTACAGTTAATCTTATTATAGTAACAGACTATATTAGAAACACATACACAGATATATCAAGTAATAACCGTGCGATGTCGTATTCAACTTACCAATTTAAATGTACTTGTCTTATTTAATATATTGTATTAAATGCTTTTAATAATAATTGCAATTATTTTTAGTACAGCTGCTTAATTAAAATCTTATATTTTAATATTATTTCTGAAGAAGGAAATATATAAAAATAACCTAATTATAAATGCTATTTAGATACTCGAATATTTAGTTACTCCACAAGTAGTTCAGATAGAAATAATTAATTAAATAAATACATATCTTAATATATAAACACTGTAAAGAAATTGTTAACTAAATCTTTCAACTAAATAATATTATTTAATTAAATATATAAAAATATTTAAATTAAATATAACATATTAAATTTAACAAAACTTGTATTTGACTTAAATACTAATATATTCAATTAACAAAATAGTAATTTAGTTGAAAAATTTAATCAAATTAATAAATTTTTCAGTGCAGTTTTTTCGCAAAATTAAAGTAATGTGATTAAGATGTATAATATCTAAATATATATAATTATATTTTATTTTTCAGAAAAAATGTATAAATATTTATATTTTGAAAAGATTATTTCGATATATGTGATTTGTATGTTATAAAATTTAAAACAATGTAGAGCAAAAAAATTTCATAATATCGCAATATCATCATTCTTAAATGATGTAAATATAAATCAATTTGATGACTTACGTGATTGTGTAAAATAAAAAATTATATCAATATCTATGTAACTCAAAAATCTTCATATCTATATCTTTTAAGAAACATGATATCTCGTTTCATTTGCTTTGACATATATACAGTGTCTGAAAATTATTATTTCTTTTAGCTATTTCTTTTAATTCTATAGTAAACTTCTTTTAAGTAAAAAATTTATTTAGAGATGATATTTTATCACGAAGTATTCTTTAATATGCGGTGTTAAATTCTTTTGTAATTAAGTCTTATCCAAGATTCTAATTTTCGTTAAAGCTAATTACTAAAATTTAAAAAAATCTTAATGTTGCAAGAAAAAAAATTTTATTTTAAAATAAATTTTATAACATAACACATATTAAAAGAATCTTTTTAATTAAGATACTTATAAAGTATAAACATTTTGGTTTTTTCTGGAAAACAAAAATACAATTATATATCTAGATATTACATCAATATTGTGATCAATGTTTTGACGTGTCTGTATAAAAATCTAACATCAACAATATTTAAAGAATTGCACAAATTATCAATATCAAAACAAACAACATACATATACATATTTGTGGAAAGATTGACCATTTACTAAATATGGTACAATGAGTAAACAAATGTTCATTAAAATTTTGCAATTTTACACGATATTCAATATAACAAGCTGCAGAATACAGATTTCTAAGGAGTGCTGACAAATTCACGACGAGAAACCGGCGAGAGCACGTTGCGGCGTCGCAGCAGCTGACGTGCCGCGTGAGAGGCCCACGACGTCGAGCCGATTCGCGCAGATCGGAGAACGTAGGCGTAACACGAATCAGTCGGCATTAAATTTGTAAAGATGACGATGCGCGAGGGACGATAGCGAGATCGCGAGGCGAGAAGGAAAGACGGACCGAGACAGATAACGGTAATCTCTCAGAAGCGCTCGCGGTAGGGACAGTCATTCGTTATGATGACGCAAATTGCAAGGCCGTCAGTTGCGTGACCTTAATGAGTAATCAGTCTGGCAAGTTTCGACTTCGAGCTTGTTGACAATTATTCATATATCACGTCGATCGCGAGATCGCGCACTGTCAAACGTTTGGTGGCGCGTTCAGGACACGTATCTGATAAGTGACGACGAAGACGAGCGAACGACGAGAATGACAGCCGTCGTGGACGAGTGGCGCGACGTTACCGAGGTTTCGCGAGTCTCGCGAGAACGTTCCGAACGACCTTGTATGAAGATTCTCGCGTGTTCACCGGGTTCGCGGGCGCGATTTCCTCGCGGATGATTCGCGAGGGATCGGCATGTTCGGGCTACGCGCGCCTTTCGGTCGCGGGCGACGTGCAGCTACGGGGATGCGCGCCGCGTGTCTCCCAGTGATTACGCGGGGGTCGACGCGTCTTCGCGACGACACCTGCGGCTCGACGATGTCGGATCGTCGTGTCGCGATGAGCTAGCGATGGATCAGAGGCGGAACAAGCTGACAAATACCTCGTTTTTCGACGAGCTCTGAAATCTCCTCCTGTTGTCGGCCATCTTAGCACCAGTCACTGACTCACAATGCACGCTGGGTAAAAACAAACGCGCCGTCGTCATGTCGCGGCGCTCCGGTGCGCTACGTCAGCGCCACCTGCTGAGTCGCAACGGAAGTATGTGACGTGTCAGCTGTCCGGCGCCTGTCAGTTATGCAACGTGCGCAGAGTCGTAATTATTTGATATTTGTTTTTATGATATTCACATGTGACGTGCGAATGTTTTTTCAAGCATTGTTGCTATTGAAAAAAAGTAGTACCTGATCTTATCCTTTTTTTCGACACTCTTGTTGGATATTTTGAGCTTTCATTCTCTTTGTTACTTTTTTTGTGTTTGATATTTAATTTACATACACAAGAATTGTTCAAAACCTTTTTGTATTTTTATCAGTTATCGTGTTACGTCTGACTACTGATTTCTTGCTAGTCTCATTTATATTCTAAGTATTTTCATATTCAAAGAGCAGAAAAAGAGCACTGACGTATTCTAGTCTGTATCTTTAATCCTATTCAGAAAATCTCAATTTTTCACGATTTTAATAAGTGAATAAATACATAATATCTTTTTAAAATTATCACAAATATAGATACAGTATCCTTTTTTATGAAAAATTGTATTAATATTATTTCATTAACAAATTTAATGTTTTATTATTATAAAATTAAAGAAAAATGTAAATGTTTTTTATCAATGAAATTTATATTATTATATAGTAATTTATAATATTAAAAATGTGACATTCTCAACTTTATTTTTTACAAATATATCCTATGAAACAAATTTATTCTATACATAAAATAGAACAAAAATAATATTTCGTTCAAGTCATATCCTTCGTACAAATTTAGACTTATCAGTATGTATTATTCCCCGTATTACAAATAATTACTGTGTACGTCACATCCTTATTGCATCATATATGTTTCTACGTATACATAATATATCAATTTTTTTCATCAAATGAATATTACATTAAATACTTTATAAAATACGCCGTAACAGCATCTTTTCCTGGAAATTTCTAAGAACTACGAACTAAATAAGATCTCAGAAACTTGTCAGTGCTCCCCTCTTTTAATTTTCTTTCGTGCAAGTGTACACGTTCGGCATGACACACTTTCACGACTCCGCTCCTGGCACACGTCGCCAGCGTTAATATATTCCCGTTAGGCAGTACAGAGACAACAGTCTTCGTGAGTTTTTCGAAGAGTTTGGTGTTTGTTCGCAGCTCGTAAAAATGAGTGATCGCACCGTCGTGATTGTTTCGGCTGTCAGGACACCCATAGGTGAAAAGCAAAGAATTATATATAATACTTGTCAGTAAAATTAAGCGCAGCAATTAGTCGTTTTTAAGTTAACAAAGTGCAAACAATTATGGAATTCGAATGATATAAATAAATAAATTTTAAAAATATTGTGCTATTTACATTATTTCCAATAAACAGTCAAAATTCAAGAATGTCTTATAAATTCGTATAAGGTTATACACATGTGTACATACACAGTTTGAAAATATATTAAATATATATATATATATATATATATATATATATATACATATACATATAAAATGCATAGTTTATCACCATTGTACAATAATATTTTATAAAACACAATATAATAATAATGAAGAAAAAATATATTGAGATGTATTGGAAATAAAGAAACTAATTCAGCTTATTTGAATATTTATATAAAATATTGTTGTAGCAATATCAAAATAAATATAAAATTTTTGTATATTTTATAATAATCCAATTTCTAATCTGTAGGATCATTCTGTGGGTGCTTGTCTTCCTTGAAGGCATCAGAAATGGGAAGTATTGTTATTAAAGAAAGTCTGATAAGAGCTGGATTAGAAGGAACAGATGTTAACGAAGTCATCATGGGTCAGGTATATAATTTGCACATATTTACATTAGAAATATCAGAATGAATACCTATTTCCAAATTTATCTAAATTTACACATACCTATGAAACAAACATATGTTTGTTAATACACATTTTTATCATTTTTAGATACTTACTACAGGAGAAGGCCAAAATCCTGCAAGACAAGCAGCAATCAATGCTGGAATACCTATTCATGTTCCTGCTTATCAAGTAAACATGTTATGTGGTTCTGGTCTAAAGTATGTATCTAATCTATAATATGTTGTATAATATACGGATGTTCTTAACTATGCAATAGTTTATCGTAAAATAATATAAAACTGTAATATATCATGTAAATATGTTGTAGGTCTATAATAAATGGTTATTCTTCTATAAAAATGGGAGAAAGTGATATAATTGTAGCTGGTGGTCAAGAAAGCATGAGCAGAGCACCGCATGCCATGTATCTTAGAAATGGTGTAAAATTTGGGAATTGTAATTTACTTGATACATTGCTAGATGATGGTTTAACAGATGCTTTCCATAATATTCACATGGCAATCACAGGTAAAACGAAAATATTACAACTGGATACAATTCTATTATAAAAATTAAAATTTTGTACAAATGTTATTACATCTTTTTATTATTTACAATTTTGGTAGCTGAAAATATTGCTGAAAAATATGGAATAAGTAGAGAGGCACAGGACTCCTATGCAAGTAAATCTCAGCAGAAGGCAGAGAATGCTATTAATGCTGAATATTTCGCCAAAGAAATTATTCCAGTAACCATTGCAAATAAAAAAGAATCTATTGTCATTTTTAAGGATGAATTCCCGAAATTTGGAACAACAACGGAGAAACTTGCAAAATTAAGACCAGCATTTAGACCAGTGCGTAAATATTATTTCCTGTAACTTTCATACTTTATTAAAAATACTATTTCATACTTTATTTAAAAATGCAATTATTGATATTATATTTTATTTAGAATAATGGAACCGTTACTGCTGGTAATGCATCTGGTATAAATGATGGTGCAGCTGCTGTAGTTCTTATGTCTCAAGAAGTTGCTGAAAGTAAAGGAATTTCATCATTAGCCAAAATTGTTGCAATAGCACAAGTTGGAGTTGATCCTCAAATTATGGGTATTGGCCCAATTGAAGCTGTTAAATTAGTCGTTAGTATATATTGTATCTGTATTTAGATTAATTTTATACTATACTAACACAATGTAAAATTAAATATGATTATATGAATGGAAATGTCAATTCTAGTTAAAGAAAGCTAATTGGTCAAAGGAGGAAGTGGATTTTTATGAGCTGAATGAGGCCTTTGCAGCACAAGCAATTGTATGTATTCAAGAACTAGGACTGGATCCCGAGAAAGTTAATGTAAATGGCGGTGCTATAGCTTTAGGTCATCCTATTGGCATGTCTGGTATGCTATTGAATTAATATACAAACTTTCTTTAATAGAATTCTCGTTTTAAAATAACATTTTACGTTTTAGGAACAAGAATATTGGTCACCCTGTTACACACTTTAGAAAGAACTGGAAAGAAAAAAGGTGTTGCATCGTTGTGCATAGGAGGAGGAATGGGTATTGCTTTGGCTGTCGAAAGAAAATAACACAAAAATGTCTTCTTTATTTATATATATAAATCTTATATGAAATTCTATATGAAGATATCTTATATGAAGTTTATTAAATTTTTATTAAAGTTTTTCTTGATAATAATGGCATTCCTCTTATGCTAAATGTTGAATAATGTGATCAGACATTTATTATGAAATTATATAATAGAAACTTCTAGTGCTCAAGTTGCTTGTTTATTGAAACATGCAACTAGTATTTTGTTATCCAGTTCTTTTTTTAGGAGAATAATGTAATTAAATTAAATATTTTTACAATATATATTTCACAGTATTTTTATACATAATATAAAAATATTTAGATGTAAATCATATAAAGTATTATCATGCTAACCTTTTACCTAACTCGAAGTATGAAACATATTAAATAAAAATAGTAAATCCAGAGTCTCTTTTATATATCTATATTAATCCTATATATATAAATAATATATCATCAAATTAAACATATATATGGACATGTATTATGATTAATAGCACTAAAGTCCAAGGGGATAAATATAATAATTAAGATTTACTAAATCAAATCTTATAAAATATAATTTATTTTGTGGATTGATTTTTTGTTTCATCTCTAATTTCTAAAATTTGTTCTACAGCAGTAAGACCTTCCTGCTGCCTTTGTTCAGTGCGTTTCTTCTTAAAAGTATACTTTGTATTCCTCATTTCTTTTGATGGACCACTTAAATGCTTTAACTGTTCCTTGATAGCTGGTATAATCCGTATCTTAAATTTATAAATATAATTTCACATTAGAGATAATATACAACACAACTAATGTTTTTTCTTCTGAATATTTTTCTAATCAAAGATTGAGTCTAAATCGTAATCATAAAATTAAACAAAATATCTTAAGATGTTTTTATATAAATGCAATTGCGTGTCCTAAATTATATCATCTAAGAAGATATAATAAATAATTAAAGTTTTTTAAAATTAATTTTCTTATACAAAAAAGTGTAATATTACTATAAATTGTGTAACACAATTGTTATTGTCATTTATATATGTTACATTGCTGATATACTAAGAGGAATGGCAGGATAATATCCACAATAAGAGTTTCCATCTTTACTAAAACAAGGAATAGATTCTTCTAAAGGTTTCTGTGTAAGCACATCAATTTTTGGTATACAGAGTTTGGCATGTTTCTTTATTATATGCCCAAACAAAGAATCTATATTAACTGTTGAATCTTTCAAACAAAAGTAAGATCCCCAAAATTTTGAATTTAAAATCTTCTCATCTGGATGAGTCAATCCATGATAAAGCATCCCTTCTGACATCTGTTCCTCGACTATAGCTACAGTATCGCAATTTGTAACTACATTTGGTACATAAATGTCTTGTATAAGATTATCGCCAATATATAAACATCGTGGATCAGATTTTCTTGTTATACGAACAAGAAACTCTGATAGTTCGCTCCAATTTCCTTGGCTATATATTTCACCTCGTTTTAAATCTTTGCTTCTAACACAACAACAAGTTTCATGATTGTTTATAATAGTGATAAATGGTCGATTGTTAGTAAAGAAACCAGGCTTTCTTGCATAACATATTATAATATCGAAAAGAGATTGCCAGTCTTTTCCAAGAGCATAATTTGCAGTAAAGCTTGCAAAATCTACATACGATCCCGTAAGAAGAAAGGTAGCAGATTTTTTCTTTACTTCTCTCAACCATGAAACTGTTTCTGGACTACATTTACGCAAATATTTTTCAGGATTTTTCTTAATGTCACCATTAATTCCTTCGCCTAATTGAAAATTGTCTTTGGAAAACATGTATATCAATCCATCCAATATATCAGACCAAACGTTATATTTATCCAAGAGGGACCCTGCATGTTCTTCATCAATCGTATCTACAGCTCGTGCAAATGCAACACTTGATGGAATATCGAAATAATCCAGAAGACTTCTTATTTTCCCAGATAGAGGACCATTCCAAGTTGCCAGCATATCATTACAAAAAGTATCTGTAACTTCCCACTTTTGTTCAGGATATATTTCCCTTATTTGATCTGTACTTAAGAGATGTGATCCATGGCATGCTCTGCGAATAACACCATCTGGGCTCACCCTGAGTATGTTTCCTTTTTCAGTATCTAACAACAATCCCTTTTGCATGAAATCTAAATCGGAATCTGTCAATGGCTTTAACAGATGCTTTGTACTGTATTTTCGTTCATTCACCAAGAATTTAGCTAATATTTCATACTCCCTGCGCACCAGATTTGTATTATTGTAACGGAGCAGGGTGTTATCCAAGTCGAAACCAATGCAATCATAGTCGGTGAATTTGAATACATCCATGTTACTTTTAATAGATTTAAGAGATCCTTCGAATTTATCTAATGTGTTGGAACTATACTGACAAGAGTTCATATACACAATCGCACTGAACAATGTTCCTCTTCTACTAATTACACATTTATGTACAGAGGCGTGTCTATATACATATACCTTGATAGTACTATGATAAAGACTTAAACCTCTAATCATATCTAAACGCGATTATATTATCAATATGTTGTTCGCGATGAACAAACATACGTTAGCATTGTATGTTATATTTGGATAATTCCTCAGCTTTATATTAAATACAATGCAAATCAGTTCGGCACAAGTCAGACTGAGCAACCTAGAGATACTAAAAATACCTGAATCCTCATTTGAGTTCTCTCAAGAATTCTCTCTAAATTCAATATTCAGATGCTTTCTTAGCTATCTGCCTGAATAAGAACTTTATTTTCGTGAGCATTTTATAACCTAAACGCAGCATGTTTCGGTCGCGTTAATTTACGCCTTTAGATCATTGAAAAAAATCACTAGACAATAGGAAGAGCAATTACGATTTTCAGTTTACTCACGTTTGGCGGGATATGAACACAACGGATGTTCCTCGCTTGCACGAAAAACATGTCAAACTGAAAGGAGTCTCCACGTGGATCCGTAAACACGCAGTCTTTCATTACGACGTTCATATATCTGCAAAAAGAAAAAAAACGATATACATATATAATGTTGTCGAATCGACTTGCGAGCGAAAAAAATTATCTCGTATTGAATCGAATAGATTATTCTTTACTTAAAAAAAAGAAAAACGTCGTTGACGTGCGTAATTAACAAGACACTTTATTCACCATACAGTTACATACTGTTATTGATAAAGCGTGAATTTTTAAACGCAATGATTATTTTTTTTAAGAGCGAATTTCACGTCGAAGCGAAAATGAAAGTACGCATACGTACGCATCGGTCTGTTCGACAATGCCGAAAATCGATGCTTCGTTACGCAAATCTATCGTCGTTCGTTGTTTCTCTACAGCTTTTAGCAGAATTGACAAGCTGTTGTAGAAAAAATGTTTCTCGCGTTTACAGTACACAGCCATCGCGAACGTAAATGGGAGCGCGCAAAAGACGCCGGCACATCGGCCGACTGACAGGATGAACTGAAGTAGCACGTGGGAGGTCACGTGACCGTGATGCGCGCGGTATTTTTTCGCGCGTAAATTTCGATCGACGTAAACATATGTTTATATATAGGAATGTATTGCAGCGCATGCTTATATATTTGTTAGAAAATGTACATAGCGTGTATTATGATACCAAGCTTATAAAATGTTCAATGTCTTTTTCATTTAATTTATAATTAATTTTGTTAAAATCTTCAATCATAAACATGTATTAATTATTACGTTACAACAATTGTAAATTGTTATAATATAGTAAACGGTTCGTCAATTACTGCGATAAATTTATTATATATAAATTATAAAATATATTTATTTTATTTAAGTGTATTATTTATATGTCTCTTATGACTATAATGGTTTAATCATATAATTATAGATTATATGTTGGTTAATGATTCGATCAAACATGATTAAAACTGTTCTCAAATATATAAAGGAAAAAGTATAATTGTTCATAATTGTAATTTATTATAACATATTTATGTCCCTTTATATATAAATATTAAGTATAGCATTAATAAAGGTACATTAATAAAGATACATTTAATTTTATGTAATTATTGGATATTTAAATTCTATAATATATATCTCTCAAATAAATCTAAACGTAATAATAATTTAATTAAATACTTTATCTTGCAAATAGTAATGTTAATTAATTTATCCTTTCTTTTTAGTTTAATTGTAAGAAGCAGATTTTTAAAAATAGAAGTTGCTTTCATGTTTTTGACAGAAAAAGTAGCAAAAATATATCGCTCATTTGCTGCAAAAATAATAAAACTAAAAAATCGTTCTTTTTGAAAGGTTTTACTACATGCACTATTTTTTTTTCAAAAAATCACAATTTTTAAATTACGTCATTCTTTCAGTAAATGGGCGATATACACTTCTCAAAATAATTAAGGGACCAAAAAAATTGTCAAAAAATAGGCAAATTTAAAATAGCTGTAACTTTGTTTCGAAAAATGAAAATTTAAATTTTAAAAAAAGGTTTTAAAGCTTGAAATTTCTACTTTCAAAAGGTCACAGCTTTTTCATTTTCTTCAATTCTGATATTTTTTATACAGAAAACGACGAACATAATAACTAAATGAAAAATTGCCTGCTCACTTTGTAGACGTTCCATTTCGTTCGTCATTTTCTGTATGTAAAAAATATTAAATTTTTTTCGAAACAAAATTACAGCTATTTAAAATTTGCTGATTTATTGGACAATTTTTTATTTCTTAATTATTTTGAGAAGTGTATATACTTATATATACACACACATAAAATAAAGATATTAAATAAAATCAGTTATATAAATGAAATACACGAGCGACTACAATTGTAACTTGATTTTGCTTTAAACGCATTATTAATTAATCTCGAGGCTCGCTCTCTTTCGAAAGATGTTAAATGCGTTATCGTGGGGAGAGATTTGATTTGTCCTCGTATTATACTACTACCGTGAACCCGATGTTAGTCTATATATAGTCACTTATAGCCGTCATTGCTAGAGGAATTAGGTTACTTCCCAACGGATATACAAAAGGGTCTTATAAATGGTCGTATCCTACGTGTATATCTAAAACAATCATGTACAAGTATTTCCGCATAACTGTCTCTTTTTCTCATCAACAATTTTCCATTTAAAAAACTAACATTTTTGACAGTTAATTTAAAAATATTATTGTGCAAGAGTTCAATTGAATATATGAAAATTACACGGAAAGAATTTTCTCTTAGAATTTATCCTGAAAATCATATGGTAATCGTGGGGCAATATTGGAAGAACTTTACAAGATTTTTTCTCATTAATATTTACCACAATAAAAAATATTAATATATGTACATAGTAAAATTAATCGAACATATTTTATATCTTATTGTGATAGATTAATATTATTTATTGTAATAAATATTTAATCTTTTCAGGCTAAATTCTAAGAGAAAATTTTCTCTGTGTATAATATTCATATTTAATTGAGAGATATGTTTGAAAGAAGAAATAAAATAATTTTGATAAAAGAGCTCATCGAACCAGTGTTGTTATGTCATAAAGAAAAACTGTAAATTGCAAATTATTTATATATAATAAGATCTTGTTATTCATAATACATTGCGTTGCATAACAGACCTAATAATTTATTTTCTCAACCAGAAAGAGGAGTGTCCCGTACTTCGGTCGAACCAACAAAAATCCACATAACATTCCGCGATTTTATATCTTCACTTCCGAGTCTGATGCAGACACTCTTATAAAAATGACGTATTCTAAAATAACATTCAACCCTCTTCATGCTCCTCGTTCAAGATACATTTCACTCTTCGTTTTGCTTTCTCCGTCCCTTTGGTTAACGTTCGCCAGCGTGAAAAGCAACGATACTCGAAGTCAGAACAGATCGATAGTTTCTGCAAAATGTGTCATATAGCGGCGGCATTTTTCTCCCTTCGGAGTTTATTATTCGGTGCCGTGCGACCCACCGCGATGAGTGCCTTCTTCCTGTGATCTACCGGTCTCTTTCTCCCCAATCGCGCATCTCTGTCCATCTGCCCCCTTTTCCCCCTTTCGGTATGCGCCTTGCGGCCTCCCTCGACGTGCATAGCTAATCAACTTCCTGGATGGGGCACATTATCTGCCTGATTGCTGGCAGATCCGCGGCGATACCTAAAGCTCACCGGCATATCTATCCGATCTCGGCAGCTGATCGCACGCGCGAAAAGCCTTGCGGATGTCACTCGCGCCCGCAATCGACGCAACGGTGCAATGATCCTGAATGTAACAGATCGGGTGTGACCTCCTTTGGGGTCTTACCCCGTCATCGTCTCCGCGGGATCAGTGTTGGCTATCGCGCGCTCGTGATAGTTCTCGGTGATCCGCGCGAAAGCATCGTCGTGTGTCGCGATGCGCTACCGAACGATTTACACGTGCTTCGATAATCGTTCACGAGGAAAAGTGTCGCTTTAAAACAGGGTTTGATTGCGAAAACCGTAAATAAACGGAAGCGAAGTATATATAGAAGAAAAGCACAGAAGATCAAGGATTTTCATTCCTACGACAGTGTACATTTTTTTAATTCAAACTCTGTAGATGCAATTATCCGCATAACTTCATTTTCTTTCGCTGCTATATAAAAAGATTTCAGTATTTTAATTATTTATTTAATGCTTTAGATGTAGATAGTATAATCGCATTAAAAAGAGTGAAAATTTATTTCTTCCACATTCGATAATTTAGAAAAATTGGACGTCGTTGATAAATCAAGATGATTCACGTCGTGGAAAGATGCAGCACAGCCATGAAGGCCGCGGGATGAAGATTCGCAAGATCTATCCCGATATTCGTCGCGTTACAAAGAAAGAGATCTCACGAAATTTCGAAGCTGCGTGCTTTTAAAGCTCGGAAGGATGTCTTTAGGACAACGTATTTCTGGAGCTGTTGCGGTTCTCCGCGGAACCTCGACCTTGGAGGCCAAGGAGGGTGGCCACACGTAAAAGATTTCTAATATTTTTATCGATAATCCGAGCTGCTTCTCACTTGAGATGTCTTCCAGGTCGTGCACAGATCAGGATATCGAGAAGATGACATCCGAAGATGAGGTCGAGGCGAAAGCGCAGCGTAAAGTGACGGCGCTCGACAGATTACAGACAGTAAGCTTGTTACTTTTTACAATCAAATTTATGCACAGGATATTAAGAATGCCGTTCTCTTCAATTTTATTTTATTTACGTCGATCACTTTTCGCGACGAAAACAAATACACCAAGTTTTATGAAAACAGATTGATATTATTTTCTTGGAATATATAAAATAACGAAAAAAATAGGAGAATAAGTATAGACGAGGAAAGCTTATTAAATTTCACTGTGGGGAATATAGATGGTAGAATGGATGAGAACTAACTTGCTTCTGGCACTGACCATCGCTGGAGTTTTGGTGGGTCTAGGTCTTGGGTTTCTAGGACGATTGGCGGATCTCACGCCTGAATCTATAACTCTCGTCAGTTTTCCAGGAGAGATTCTTATGCGGATGCTGAAGATGTTTATCCTGCCACTCATTATCTCGTCGCTAATCTCGGGTAATTATAATTAATCTATTTCATCTCGAAACGCAAAGTCTAATTACGTGAATATGAAAAACAACGAATATCATTTCAAACATTAAAGTTTTATATTGATGTAGCAGAAATATGTGCTTCATATTTATCTTTCGACTCGCTTTTTTATTTCCTCGATTCCGTGGAAATCTAACATTCGAGGGACACACTTATTTCAGGAATGGCACAACTAGACGTTCAAAGATCAGGAAGAATAGGAGTCAGAGCGTTAACATACTATTCGATAACAACCATTCTCGCTGCCATCGTAGGCATTGCGATGGTGCTGATGATCCATCCGGGTAATCCGCAGATCAAAACTACGGTCACGGCGATGGTGAAAGCCGAAGAGACGAAAGTCTCCACCGTAGACGCGATCCTCGATATAATTCGGTATGAATAGAAGAAAACAGCCTTTCAATTCCATAATTATGTCTGAAAATTGTACGTTCTCAGAAACATGGTGCCGGAGAACCTGGTGCAAGCATGCTTCCAGCAGGTTCAGACTTCCTACGTAAAGAAGAAAGTAATCGCAATCGGTACGAATCAGAGCGAGTATATAACCGAGTCGACCTTGGTTTACAAGGACGGTACAAACGTGATGGGCATGATTGTGTTCTGTATTATCTTCGGCGTGCTCGCGGGCCAGATAGGACCTCGCGGCAAGCTGATGGTGGATTTTTCGTGGTGCTAAACGAGATTATCATGAAACTCGTCACGATCGTCGTGGTCTGGTATGAAATACTATTCAAATCATTTATACTTGCGTTATGTGTGTGAATAGATATCGAGAAATATAAAAGAAAATATTATATAAATTAATGAGAAAAATGTAAAAGTTAATTTTATATTTACTGTTTTAATTTAGAATAGCTTCCAATTTTTTTCTTTCGGTTCTAATTACTTTAGTTTTTGTACAATATAATCACGACAAAATCGCTGCAGGTATTCTCCGTTCGGAATTATGTGTCTGATAGCTGGAAAAATTATGTCGATTACAAATCTGGCGGCAACTGCTCAAATGTTAGGTCTATACATGGTGACAGTTATATTGGGTTTAATGATTCACGCGATCATCACACTACCGACGATCTATTGGTTTATGACTCGAAAAAATCCAGCTGTGTTCTTTAGAGGCATGATGCAAGCCTGGGTGACTGCGCTGGGTACAGCTTCGAGGTAATAATCGATTTGTTTTACACGCATACAATATATTTTCAAGGAATGTTTAAACAGATTTCATTCTTCACTGCATTATCTTAAGATTGATTCAAAAGTTAGTTCAAAGATGACTGTAGAATTCATTTAAATGTCATGACATGGCATGTATTTGCATCTATAGATTACGTCGACTGTATTAAACATAAAAATCTAGCAACTGAATAATATAAATACAGATTTATAGTCCTGTACATATCACAGGCATTTATATCGAACAGTTCGTGCTGATTTTGAGACAGCCTCGCTTACATTTTTTCTAAGAAGACGATTTAAAATTTATCGTATCTTTATGATTGAATAACTTCGAGTCATTTTCTAAGGTAATGAAATAAGATATTGCTTCGAATGTTATAAATTTATGATTATAGTGCAGCAACTTTGCCTCTAACTTTTCGTTGTCTCGAAGAAAACAACAAGATCGATCCACGAGTGACACGTTTCGTCGTGGCAGTTGGTGCTACCGTAAATATGGACGGTACGGCTCTTTACGAAGCCGTGGCTGCGATTTTCATCGCGCAATTGAATGGAATCTCATTAGGATTCGTTGAAGTTATTACAGTGAGGTATGCATCATTAATATAATGTTAGAGATCATTGTTTTAATATATCATTAATTTGATCAAATCATTGTTAAAAGGATCTCAATATATCGGATTAATAAATTTAAAAAAAATGCGATTCTGTTCTACGATTTATCTTGATTTTTAACAGCCTTACAGCTACCTTGGCAAGTGTCGGGGCTGCAAGCATCCCTAGCGCTGCATTGGTCACCATGCTGTTGGTGCTAACAGCCTTGGGTCTTCCTACGAATGATATTTCTCTATTGTTCGCTATCGACTGGATGCTGTAAGTTACACGTGTATTTTTTTACCGTTTCTCTGTGAATTAAAGCAAACATTTTTCGTTTTTCAAGTGATCGGATCAGGACTTCGATCAATGTTCTGGGCGATGGTTACGGAGCCGGGATTGTTTATCACTTAAGCAAAGCAGAGCTAGATAAAATGGACGAGGAACGAAGATTGGAAAGCTTGGAAATCGGAAGACCTCTCGGAACTACTATCGAAAGCTGCAAACGAGAAGAGATAGTAACACACGAACAAACTGCCGAGACAAAAATTTGAATCCTTGGACATCCTCGACGAAATCATAATGTTATATCGTCGTATGTAATAACGATTGATTTTCATTGTCGAAATCAATTTTTTCCCACAAATTAAGAGTTAAAATATTGCAGAATATAATTATTATTTAAATTTATATAATTTATATAATTATTAAGAATATTGTAGATAAAATGAATTTTATATTTAGTTATGAATTTTATTAATATATATCATATGTTTTATATAGCGAGCACTAACAACTGGCAGTAGAGAGTGAATGAATTAAAAGTGTTAAATGTTAAAGTAGAAAATGTGAGCATATTAAGTACAAAACTAACAAAAATGGTATTTCTTATTCTTTTTAGCGTGTGAGAATTCTTCTTTTAATTTGAAATATTAAAGAATATTAATATATCAGTTTAATGATGTACAGTAAAATAGAAATATAAGATATAGTAAATTATTATGCGTTGCATCGGAGCAAGTAAATAATCCTTAAGACGCTTAAAACATTTATCAACCGATAATATTTAAAGGCTACATATAATATGAATAATTTAAGCATTTTTTTCAATGATAATGATTAGCTACGACAGTGATTAATGTCTAAAGTGAGAAATTATGTAAATCTTTTTCTTGCATTACACAAACATATATTTTCTTTAATATAAAATAATTTTTAATAAATGATTTATGTAATTGTAATTATATACAACTCTATAATATTATGTATAATTGCATTATCATAATCGGTGCGAGCCACTCGTTCTCTTTTTCAAAAGAGAATGTGTATATAATTTCACATAAAATTTTATTAATTTCAAAATATACAAGAAAAAAATTTACATAACGTCTTGCTTTTAATGTCATAATTTAATATGGTTAAATTAAAGGTTTTGAAGGTAATAATGAATATTTATACGAATGTGTTCATAAGTGTTGCATGTATAAATATAGATATGTAAGATTATGGATATTCTTAATTAAGACAATTGATATAATTAATAATTTATTATGCAAATCTATTATACATTCAATAAAGAATGGCTGCTTATGTTTCTATTGCATTGGCTTTTGTATATTGATATTTCTTTCTTTATACTTAAATATTGTATAATATATAAATGCCGTAATTGATTTATCGTATAATTAAAAGTGTATTCTATGTACATATCGATATACTTATATAACGTCGCATAAATATTTTCGTTTATTTGCACAATTTTCGAAATACTTGAGTGAAAAAATACAACGATTCTTACTGACTGGCTTATATTCTAATTATGTAACTTCATGATATTATATATTTATATAATTGCATTATTAGAAACATCGCGAATTATCGCTGTGGTTTTCAATAAACGTGAACCATCCCATATAAAAATCTGATTCATCATTAAGAAATTCATATCAATTTTAGCATATATGTGAAATGTATATTATTTGCATTATTATACGAAAGGATACGTCCAGAATAATACATATGTCTGTAGAAAGTTTTGCAGTTGAAGAATAGAAAGTTGTTGTTAAGGAAAATAAATGTCTGAAAATAAAATTTTTATGAATTGCTTTAAAGGATACACAAAGTCCTCCAAAGAAACCACTTGTTAATAAATGTCGTCTGCTAATAAAATATTTTTTCCACTGACCACCAGCTTTCATTAATAGCATTGCCTATAAAGATGTTTGTAACATTATGTATAATTATTGTTATTACTATTGTTAAGGCAATCTTACCCATAGCCCGAAAACTGCAAAAATATAAAATCCAAATCCATACAACCCAGTCAATCCTAGCAAGCCAGCTGTACCACCTGATAAAGCTGCCATTGATATTTTACAATATTCTACCACTGCAGCATTGTTTACAACTGCTGCTTCACTATACGCAATGATCTCTACAATATGCAATCATATTTAAAATTTGTCATCTGCTCATCATTATTATTGAATAATTAATTTATTCATAATCTATTAATTTTTATTCACTTGCAATGTTTCTAAATAGCAAATAAATAATGAACATAACCTCACAAAAGAATATTTACGATATTTTCTAAGTTCATATCGTTTTCTGCTCGCATTCATTTTTCAGATAATTTTCTTACTCACCCCCACTTTTCTCCTGCTTTGTTTTTATTTTTCCCAACATTATACTTTATGATTTATAGAAACGTTAACCTAACAGAGCGAAAATAAATGACTGAATACAACGATATTCGCGTCAGCTGTGATCAGCTGCTACTGTCAAGACACGTCAGCTCTGCGCAAGAACTAATATGCATGTGGCGCCAAGTTCAAATAACATAAATAGACTTGCAGCACAGACGAAATATGTATTCATTCCTACTTGCACTTATAAATTGTCCATCAATCCACCTGTCAATTATATTAATTATATCACTGTCTATTACTGTGATTACAATGATATATACAATGGATAAGCAAATTTTCGTCAGTTAGTCATTAATTATCGCGTTGGTAAAGAGAAATAGTAATAAATATAGACGATACTATATTTATTGCTTGAAGAATTTATTCTGTTTTATGTTGAAAATCTTGGCAAAGCTTGGTGGCAACAAAGACGGGCCACAAGATTATAATAATCATTTGCTGTAATTTGAGAATGTTATGAAGCAGCAGCTATTGTTAAACAATTTATTGATATCCTATGATAAACAAATTGTTTGACACAATATCGATTTAACAATCTATTGATTGATAATTTGCAAATTTATAAATAAATTGTGTTAAATCAAAAAAGCGCAATTCAAAATCCATCGCCGCTATTGTAAATTTGCTAAAATTATTAATACATTTTTAACAGAAAATAATATATTTATATATTAATAGATTTTGGCAGATTTATAATCATTAAGAATCTTGTCAGTTCAAATCATTTAAGTTAACACAGATCTTTGAGGGTGGGACTCGGAATGCAAATATCTAAAGCAAGTCTCTGAAGAAAAATAATGGATAAATATATAATTTTAAACAACCTAAATTCTACTTGGAGAAAAAAGATCGATGCTTCATAACTCATGATTTATTTCTCGCGGTTCGACAATCGACTCGAGTGACTTCGACATCATACTGTCGTGATTTCTTTGAAATACGACGCAAAGCGATTCGGCTCGAGGCTGAAAATAACCGCCGGAGAACCGCTCGTTCTCGCTTCGCTCCACTCCGCTCGGCTCGGCTCGACTCGACATAGCTCCTCGAGCTTGGACAGAAATTTCGTCGCGGGGGTCCGATCTCCTGTGGTCAGAAAAATAAGAGAAGCTTGGCACCTCAAAGAGACCCTCGGCGAAACGAACGCGAAACACACGCACGTATATCGTCGTGTGCGAACCCTTTCGCGAGATCGTGAGACGAGCAAATTAATTACGCAAATTAAGAGAAGTGAAGTGTTCGAGGTGAGTCTTCTCAGGGTGAATGTCGTGATTAATTTCTCTTTTTTTCGCGGACATGCCTGTGACATTACGGCCTCGAAATGATATCCGCGTATTCCCTGTGATATTATATATATGTGTGTCTTATGTGCGTGCGTGATGCTTTGAATAACGTGAAAAAAGATTGTGGTGTGTTTTTCTCGCGTATAATATATAATTTTTCTTTTTAATTAATTAATTAATTTTGTGAATCAATTCCCTAGGGATATCATCATGGATATAAATCATGTACATATAGACACACTGCTCTTCACTGGACTTATAATATCATCGAAAAATATGATGCATGTAGTATGGTAGTATAGTTTTAATTGCACACTACATTATCATCAAATTAATTTTAGAGGCAAGCTTAATTAAATTAATATGGACAATTAATTGTTGAAAAAAATTAATACATTTCTCTCGAAAATAAGAGTCTTCACGCGATTCTTAAAATTCAATAGAGAACCGTATACTTTTCTTATCCTAAAATTAGAAACTCGGTTTTGTATTCTTATGCAATGCCGTTTTCTGGAGTAGCTTTGCCAGACGACGGAAAACCATCGTAAAAGTGTCTAGATGACATTTTAATATTCCAATTTTGTCATTGAAATTTGCTCGTTAAAATCAACTCGTAAAATTATAAATTATCTGGATAAATTCCACTTATTGCTATATTTTTATTAACTTATTGCTATATTATTTTTTATTATCTTAACGTAGATTTACGATATTACGATTAAATAATACTTGTAAAAATAATAGTGTATTATCGTCTTTAATGTAAAATGTTTCCTTATTGAACGAATATTTTAAATTAAAAATCATTATTTTATTCTTATTTTATTTCGATGGAGTTGATATATCATGGGTAAATAATATTTGTAGAAGTAACAGTGAATCATCGACCATGATATAATATGTTCAATATCACGACAAAGGATAAAGATACAAGAAATATTTATAGAACATGTATATCAAGAGATTTTATCGACTTTCTATGAAATTTGTATTTAATTCATCAAGAAACAATTTTATCGAACACAATGTGTGTAAATAATATATTCCTATATAACTGAATACTTATTTGAAAATTCTTTTGCAAAAATAGACCACGCTTTTAAAGAATAGATATTCTTAACCTTCAATTAACATATATTAAGTACGATAATTGAGAGTTTAGTCTCGATAAGCATATGGAGGATATTTCGGTAAGTCATTGCGGATGCATCTATTTCTGTCGCATTGCTGGAAATAGATTTTCAGAGAAGGTAAAATCAACAGAGCTTATTTCTGTGTTAATCAATTATAATCTCGTTGTCAAACTGTAATTTTATTATACATCTACTAAAAAGATTTCAACAGATTTCCTTTACTTTAATAAAGATATGAGATATTGCAAAACACATTGTCATTTCTTTTTGCATTTTCTTTGCGTTTTTGTCGCGTTGTTTGGATTGCACTATCATTGCAATGCCGCATGTTAAATGCTAGATTAATCGTGTTAGGTATAGATTTAAAGCCACGATAAAATCGCTGTATTAGCTCAGCTTGTAGCAAGTGTGATTTGTATTAAAGTGAGCTTTATGTCATTAACGCTTCATATTCTATTCATCATTCGCGCTCAATATAATAATATCGATAATTTTGGATCAATAATGGCACTTCTCTGACCATTACACCCAGATTGAAGCAGAATTATTAAGTTGGTAAATTTGTATAATTTTTGATCGCAATATTAATGAATTGAATTAGTCACAAATTGAACGCTTTTGCGATATTTCACGATCTCATACTTTTTAAATGTATAATTTTATAAACATACTCGAAAATTAATAGAGACACATAAACGCTATATATTTTCCTCTTCTATATATTTAACAAATATAATAATCTAATTGCAAATAATATGAAGTCGAGTAATACATATAATTTCCTTTTCTTTTTTGAATTGTCTTCAATTAAAAATTTAATATATGTCATAACAACATATAAGAATGTAAAGAATTTAATCTCTCCTTAAGAGAGATATTCAAAAGATTTAAAATTAATTTCAATCTTTATATATATATATATACACGATAAATTTAATTTATTATCCTACGCTAGCAATATTTTCATCCTTGAAACCCATCAATTCAGCTGCCTGTCGCTTATTGTCGACAGTGTCTTTTATTCAGATTCATTTTCCCAAAGAAATAAAATTATATCCCAACAATATTTCATGATAAAATGGACAGGCACAGTACGCGAAAATCGTGTAATACGGTCGCAGGAAGAGGAAAGGGAGGGATTTTGCGTTAACGGAATCTCGAGCATGCGGAATTTGATTGAAGGTGTCGAGCGCGTGCGCGAGGAACGTCGGCGAACGGTCTGGGTGCCCTTCGAGCAGCAGTGGGTGATTGTCGGTGTTCCACAACAGTTGAAGTGCGACACCACCATCGTGGTCATCGTGGTCAGTCACCGTCTTCGTCGGCGAGACGAAGGAGTCAAGAGCCCCGGTGTGTAGTGACAGGCAGGAAACACCATGCCGACCATGCGAGACCGTGCATGACCGAGCACCGCTTCAGCACTGATAAGGGTGCCTTGGACACCAAGTGAACACGCGAGTTACGGGCACGCACACTCGCGTACGCGTACACTCGCACGAGCGCGCAGAGGTGACACTGACAGGGGAGGCTCGTCGCGTGGAAGCGCGTCGAAGGGATGGCCGACAGCGAGGGTGGCTCCGAGCAGGACGACGTATCATTCCTTCGTACGGTAAGTTCCACTTTGCTATGGACGAGCTTATGATTGCGCGACAAGAATAAAGAGTCAATGGCTTCAAGGTTCAAGAGAAATGCGAGGAGAGATCACTAAGTTTGTGATGAATCCGTGAAGATGTAAGCTAGCTCGCTACCTTTTGAGATATCAGGAGGATATAGAGTCCGGAAAATTGTACTAAGAAATATTGATCAGGATCTCGTGATTAACGGATAAAGTGATTGTTATTGAGAATGAAGAGACTGTCGGTTTTACCATTTTTTGGAAAGGAATTTCTAGCAACAGTCTTCGTTGACGATTCGCTTGTAATTTGTCTTCTTAGAGCAGCTGATTTTTTCTAATAATTAGATAAACTATTTAAATTGCTAAACGTTGAAGTAAAAATTATCAAGATTTTTTTTTGTTTTTCTCAATAAAGATTTAATCTTGATATGCGAGGTTATCAATAAGTTTGAAAGGGGCAAAGTTTAAATGACCGCAAGCGTGCTCGCGAAAGCATGCAGAAACAGGCAGGTGGTTCGCCTTCAATGATACAGTGGTGTTCGTGAAAATGAATGAATGCTGATGAAAGCATGGAACTCTGTTTTCACAAGAAGTGAACAAACTCTATACTGCTGAACTGTTGTATTACGCACATTGCATACGAGTATGATTTCATATCTATGATTTAAAAAAAACATCATAGGAAATATTTCGAAAAATTTTGTATGTAAATTTCTCTTTTTTATGAAACCTAATAATTAATATATTATTTAAATTATATTTTCAAATTAAATTATAATACATTGTTAATTTTTATAAGTTTAAAAATTGAAATTAAATTTACTAAGTATTTGACAATTCAGATTGATGACAAATGCAACTTTAAATATCATTTTAAAATCACTAAAATTCATTTTACGTATAAATGCAATTTTTTATGGCAGGAAAAATTTGTAAGATTTTAGCAAAATGTGGAAGCACTTGAAGTTCCTTGTAGTCACAACCTTGACCTACAAGAGCTGACCTCACTAGTCAAGATACAGCCTTTTGTCATCGCATATGACGTCCGCGTATATTTAATCCGTTATATTCTGTTTATATTGAATATCGTGTTAATTACAATGATATAGTTTACTAGATTATAAAATTTACACGTAAATGTCAAAAATGTTGATCAATCAACAATGCAAATGTTTACCTCTCAAATAAATGAATTATTGTTTTTCATATATTTTTGATATTTTTAAATATATAATAATTGCACAATTACTGTTTATATATTTATTAAGATAATATCATCAAAGATAAAAATTTGTCAAATCATACAAAAATAAAAAGAATTTATCACATAAAACTATTCATAAATTATACAGAATCGCTTGATCTCTATTTTATGACCTTCATGTTCGTTACAACTGTTTCGTCATTCTTTTTTATTCCCACCCCAAAAGCTCAGTACTTGAAAATATGAATATTTCATATACTGAGAAAATGTATATAATAATTCCGCCAAGAAATTCCACCTTGAAATATAAAATAAAAATCTAACTTCCAAATGTCTTCCAACAATTTTGAAGCTTACGATATATTCTCTTCGTCTCTCTCTTGTTCTATCAAATGCAGTTCATCTTCAAATTTCTCACATTGTCTTTCGTCCCTCATGTTCTATTGATAGATGCTTCCTAAAGTGTTTAACGGTAATCAGAAGTTACATTTCGCTAACAAGTCTACGTCTTCTTCTTCTCGTTGTTCCTCTCATGCGTCGTCTTTTGCGTTCTCTCTCTGCCAAAATTATATATTTCTTTCTCTGTTCCTCGGGCAAGGCGCACCATTCTTTGCCAGCCTGCCGAGCGACTTCCGTCACGTGTTTTTCGGGCGTCTTATAATACATCTCGAGAAAGAAGATAATAAAAGGATTTTGTGAGACAATTCTCCGTTTCCTCCTCCTAGATTTGGACCGGCAGCGACATATCGCTCCTCTTTCGTCCTTTCGTCTGCGACGATCCGTACGCGTCTTTTCGAGATCGGTCTCTTCCATGGGTTCGCCCATCTCTTTACCCGATTCTTCATTAATGCGTCTACGAAGGGTTTTCACTCATTTATCTCATTGCGTTCTATTATATCATTTTTATTATAAATTATAATAAATACTATAAATTAGTCAAATTAATATTTGATCTTCTCGCATTTTTAATCTATGTGCATCTAGGATGCATTTAATGCAATATGCCGGTACTTGGAGCAAACGAGGTATTTTTTATTTCTGTGAAATTTTTTATTTTTCTTTTTGAAGTTTACGATTGGTCGATCAGTACTTAATTTAATTTACGACTAAAAATTTGGCAAATTAATGGAATATATGAAACGCATGAGAACGATTTTTGATTATCGCGGTCGTGGCTGTCTTTGTGAAATTAAATCGGCTTTCGTGTTCTTGTTAAATCAATGTGGTAAAATCGCGTGCGAAATATATCTCTGTTAGATTCGCGACGCGACAACCATCATGCCATATGAAATCGGTCGGGCTCGATGCCAGAAAGAGAATTGTTCTTACGTGAGAAATCATATTTGCGCCGTTCGACAGGCTACTTTTCGTACGAATGAATTATGTAGGCAAATTTTCGAAGGAAAATTGAGAGCGCGAAATTACGCTCACCTGCTTTCATAGAACGTTCTCCCGTAAATGTTAGGTTCATCCATCTTCTGCCGTTTACAATTTTTTACTTGATAATTTGACTTGATGTCGAAAAGAAAGGAAAATGTCCCTGCGACGAAAACATCTGAAGTTTTACGAGTTTAATTCTCTCACTTCGCACGCTCGAGAATAGTCGATAGTCTATTGATTATTGGCGTTGCGATATCATTTTTATGTATAATATATACATATATAGTAGAATTGAGTGTGTCGAATATATAGTCATAATCGTTGAAATAAAGCTGCGTTGCATAGAGTTACGTTTAAAATTTCATGATTATAAATGTCCCAATGTTTATACGGAAATTGCTTCTCAGCGAAATGGAAATTAAAAAAATTATTGTTCTCAATTTTATTTATACTAATTTACATGATTTAGTAATTTATATACAGTAGACTTTAATAATGAACAATGCAACTTTCAGATTATGCAAAAGATAAAAAGATAAATCCATTTTCAATTTTATTAAAAACGTAATGAAGAAATGAAGAAACTCTCATAGCAGTATCTCTTTCAAATAATAATAATTTAATATCATGCTTAATTAATTACATTTTGCTTGACATATTTTTCGAAGAAACTTATGATCGCATAATTCATTGTAAAACTTCGCCGACGAAATTTTGCGACATATATGCACATAATGCGAGAAATGTAAGCGTTTTCAAAGTTCTTATTTAAAGCTAATCGCTTTTAGTTAATTTTAGAATTTGATGTGGTGGCTGTTCTGTCTGATCAATACGCCTCACATAGCCGTTTCATTAGTGATACTGCATCGAAAAATGATGAATTTATAATTAATATACCGCGATGCGCAACGTGCGTTGGATGCGCCGAGTATCGAACAACAAACGATATAGCATATACGCTACTATGCTGCAACATCCCACCTTTCTAACCCTCTTCCAGCTCAATGATGCTGTGAAGCGTCATGAAGCTTATTTTTTTAACGATATATTTATTAAATATCACTTGATATGCATGGCTAATATTTCTATTAAATGAAGGAAGCGAAGAAATATTAATTCAATTATATCAGAGTTAGATAGTTAATTAAGTCAAGTTTATACAAACAGATTTTCAGTGAATATTTTTATGATTAAAACAATTTTAATTCTCTCATATATATATATTTTCAACCGTGAATCTTTCACATTGTTTGAACTTTCTGTTCTGCGCATCTAAACGAATGATCTGAACTTGTAACGTGTAAAGGGTAAAAATGATTTACAGATAGAATTGTATGGATTATTTGCTTGAAATGAAGGTGTACCTTTGACCTATGCTCGACATATTGTAACTTCGATCGTCACCAGATACCGGAAGTAACCGATGCATTTGATTCATTATCAATGCACACATTACAATTGTTTCCGTAATTTTCTAACATTTCGTCCATTTATTTTAGCCGAAAAATCACTCATACTTCAAAAATTGCAGAGTAAAATAAAATAATTTTTTGACAGAACAGAATTATTATATATGAAACAAACAATTAAAATAATATTTTAAACATACATAATTATAAAACAATGCTAATACTTTTAATTCAAAATTTCTTTTCTGTTCTTTATTTCTCACGTAAATTGTAATCACAAATTCAAAAAATGGCATTTCATATAATATCTTAATTAAAACCAGCAATTTATAAAGTCATCCGCGTCAAGAGTCAAGATTGATCAATCTTTATTAATATCTCGATAAACAAGATTAAGTCTGCCAAATTTCCAGCGGAAACTTTCGGCCTCTTTCGCGTGTCTCGGACGCAAATATATGAGCATATGTATGGCAAATCGCGTGCCATTCCGGCATGGATTCAACTCGGATTTGACCTAGCAGGAAGTTATGTTAATGCGTCCTTTAAGTAAAACATTACTTATGCATCTCTTTCTCGATTGCATATTAATTTTTTTCGAACGCTTAAACAGCGAGATGCATATCACAGAAATATGCGTTCACAGTTACACACCCTATCACATATGTCGTATATTTAACGATCGACAACATTTAATATTATCACTCGAGGGGATAGATAGAGAAAAAAAGAGAGACCGAAAGAGAGTAGGTGTGGTTCTGCTGGAATACGTTTAATATGCTAGTGCAAAACAATTTTGTTTGCATAGATAGTTTCATCACGATGCACCCGGAGAACTATCCTCCCTTCATCGATTTCAATTAAATTCTATAATCGAATGAATATTTTCCCTATATTGTTGTTACATCCTTGATTGCCAATAAACCGGGTTGGTTACGCGATGAATAATATTTCAAGTGCGAATTGTTCTGTAGATAAGTATATAATATTATGCATTTTTAATTTTTAATAAAATTTGAAATATCATTATATTTACAATAAAATGGTTAAAAATATTTATATATAATATTTTTCATTAGATTATCGAATAGAGTGTTTAAGAAAATGCTAAAAAAAGAAAAAGCATTTAGATAATCGTTGTAATATTGCATTAATTTCCCTTGGGTCTTAAGACCGAGCATATTGATTAAGACTTGAAAATGTTGATTACGATATGATCTTATCGAGTAATTTATTACACTGATTTATATATATAATTATATGTAATTATATGTAATTATAGTCGTAGTTAAATATAGTTATAGTTATATATAGCTATATATACTGCTTGATAGATGAAATCGTTTAGTCTAGATGATATAGAAATAACGGAGTATAAACAATCTTCGAAGGATAAACAATTTTCTCCTAGTTTCTATAGTTGCTCATAAAAATTTCACGGATGCATATACTTGATACTACTTTTCTCTTTCTTTATTTGACATTTCTGTTTAGAGTTGAAGGGCACACATAAACATGTGGCGGAACTTTTTTCTTACTAAGAGATGGGGAAAAAAGCAAAACTGTTACGCGATAAGGCAATTTTAACGACTTTAAAATTTCAACAATCAGATCGAGTTTATAAAGAAAAGCAGCTAGTGTGGACGGAAAGAAAAATTTGCACGCATCAAGGGTTAAAATCGAGCGACGCAAATCGAATGACTCATTCGGCGAGTTCCTAGTGGCGACGTTACTGCGAGCGCGCGTTAAATAACGTCGTTGTGAGAAATGCATGTTTTCCGCCCGGCGATGCGACGCGTCCAAAGATTACGAGGTGCATTCGAAGCCGGCACACTTGTGTGCCCGAGCCTCATGCATTCTTGAGGTCGTCCAAATTGGTTTTGGCACAGTTTTGGCCGGTATTCTGTCGTTTAGTCTGCACCATATTTCGCTCGATTTCGCAAAGGCTTGTCATTAACATAATAGCGAGAAATTGTTTTCTCTTACAAAATAATCGACAGATCGAAAATTGCTTTCCACAGTCGACACTTTCGTCGGTTCGTTTATCCATTAAAATGTAAACAGCTATTTTCAGCCAACTATTTGCTGCAGATTGTAAAATATTTTAGTGCTATTGCGCATTATTGTAGCACGGCGAACATTTTGGTACGATAAAATAAGCAACGAGGGTCTTCTGACAGAAGATTCCGCGCTGAATTCTCTTGTCAATCTGTATGCGTGAATCAATATAAGTTTCAAGAAAATTTCAATTTATGCCAATATTATAAAAATTAATTAATGTATTACGATTATAAAGAATATAAAAAAATGAATTTGAAATGAATTAATGTTTTCGGTCGGGTTTCTCAAGTTCTTAAAATAGAACAGGTCGCTGGTTACATCGAAAACTCACAAAGACATCATTTGAAATTTACAGGAGGATATGGTATGTCTGTCCTGTACCGCGACAGGAGAAAGGGTTTGCCTAGCAGCCGAGGGTTTCGGTAATCGACATTGCTTTCTCGAGAATATCGCGGACAAGGTAATGACGACTCGCTCTCATTATGCCGTTTTTATCATCTCATTAATTATTTTTCTTTCATTTCTAGAATATACCGCCGGATCTGTCGCAATGCGTGTTCGTGATAGAGCAGGCTCTCTCGGTGAGAGCCTTGCAGGAGTTAGTCACAGCTGCAGGTTCCGAGACGGTAATGTATATACATATTCCCTGTCTAATATCTCTATGAACTTCAGCTTTGGCAGTAAAATTCCAGGAAAAAGCTCTACTTGACGCGTGCCGTAAAAAAAGAAACATTCCCTTATTTTAAAAAGGAGGACTTTTCAAACAAGTACTACAAACTACGAAACTCGTGTAATCCGTTGAATTCGACTCATGTAATTCATTAATTACGCGAATAATGTGTCATCATCTGCCTCGTGATTATAAACTTTTCACATCCTAAATTAATCGTTAAATATCAATTTATTTTATTACGCCTGCATAAGAATGGGCCATAAAACGCGTCCTTTGTAGTTATGTGTAAGACGTGAAAAATATAATCCCCGAATACGTTAAAGGTCTAAGAGATTGAAAAAAATGTCTAAAAAAGTATTCAGATATTTTATAGATCTTTTTCAGTGTCTTTTAGACCTTTAAACTCTCTTGCTCAGTTTCTCCGCCGAATAATTTCCAAAGAGTTCCTGATACATCGGAATAGCTTCTTTTTTATGCATTAGCACGCATTTCCTTCGCCTTTGCACCCCTCGTGTCCGTATGATTGTAGCGTGTGTCCATGTAGTCGTGTAAAACAATTTCGAGTTTATATATTTTCATTTTTTTGAGCGTTTTCCTCCTATATCCGATCTTATCATTCGAAATGTGCTATCATCATAAAAAATCATCTGAAAATGTAATTGAGACCTACCGTCATCATCGACCATGAAACATCATACGCATACGCATTATTCTACTTTCATTTTTCCCCCTTTCTTTCTTTGTAATTAATCTAAATAGAAGGAGATTCATTGCCTCTTACGTTTTTTTTTCTCTTTGCAGCAACAAGACAGTTTAGTAAGTATAATTTACGTCTGCGGGTCGCCGTAACGTGTCCGCTCTTGGGTAAAACATTTTTTTGTGTGTTAGAAACATCATAACGCCCGATCGAGCTTGAGTGAAGATATTGAATCGTTTATTTCGCGAAAACGATCAATTTTTGAAACATTGTTTTTATTTATCATCATGTTTAAAGCAATAAGACATTTTGAGTAGCATTTATCTAACATAAAAATTGTATTCAATATAAATTTAAAATAAAAAATAATAAAATACAAAATAAAATAAAAAGTAATAAAATAAATATATATAATTATAAATAACTTTTATCGTCTCTGTCTTAAAATAATGTCAAAAATTTGGCACTGTTTAATAATTTGATTGCAATGACATATACATACATATAATCGATATCGGTATGTAATAATATATTCTTCAATAATATATTCTTCAAATTTCTCAAATAATATCGAGATGCTGTTTCACCCACTCGATCGCAGTATTAGTATAATCATTCTGAGAACTTCAATTAATATTAACCTAATGTATGTTAGAGCTAATAATAGAGCCTACTTGCTTTCATTTAATTGTCTAATATAATTAACCGTCTATGTTATATAAAATCGTATTCAGCAATCTATGCCTTTTAGATCTATGCCTCGTATCGTGACTTGACATAATACCAGCATTTATGGCCTCCTCTTATCAGTATACGCTTGTAGAAGTTGTCTAAGAAACTCTGTTATTTTGCGAAGTATTAAAATCTCGTACCATATATACGTAGAGAGAAATATAATATTATTATTATATTCAAGAAGTTGCAAGGGCTTTGACCAATCCTTTGATCTTTCCAGGGAAAGGGCACCGGGTCAGGGCACAGGACCTTGTTATACGGTAACGCGATATTGTTACGACATCTAAACAGCGACATGGTAAATTAGTTTCTCTCTACACACAGTGTTATTATACACGCACACGTGCGTTCATTTTTAATGATTGCATAAATATTTGTGTTTGTATATTATAGTATCTGGCGTGTTTGTCTACAAGTTCATCGAACGATAAATTAGCTTTCGACGTCGGTCTACAACAACATTCGCACGGTTAGTGCAACGCTATCGTTTTAATTAACTTTTTTCTTCATGAGCTTTTAATTATACCGTATATAGTACTACCGTTAATTTTGTTAAATTTACTGTAATTAACATTATTTTTTTCTATTCTCCAATATATATATATGTATATAATGTATTGTTTTTGAACACATTCGTGAACAATTTGACAAATGTAATTATATAACTATTAACAAAATTAAATTGAAGTTAAAGTTGCAATGGCAAATTTATCATAGATCACACGAACATCATATTTTGTTTGAAACTTCATCAAGTTTTTATCATATAGGTGAAGCATGTTGGTGGACTGTACACCCTGCCTCCAAGCAGAGATCCGAGGGTGAGAAAGTGCGTGTAGGTGACGATCTTATTCTGGTATCTGTTGCTACCGAGCGATACTTGGTAAGTTTGACATCAAAATATCACAAAATTTAATGAATAAAATAAAATAAATAGAAATATATATTAAATAAATATATTAATTATAAAAATAATATGAGAATATTTTGGCGTGGGAATAAAAAGTATTTCATAATAAATATCCTGTTCTTTGTTTTAGCATACGACAAAGGAAAACGATATATCAGTGGTTAATGCATCTTTTCACGTAACCCATTGGTCTGTACAACCTTACGGCACCGGTATCAGCAGAATGAAATATGTTGGTTTTGTTTTTGGGGGCGATGTATTACGATTTTTTCACGGTGGTGACGAGTGTTTAACGATTCCATCGACTTGGAGCCCAACACCCAGTCAAAAGTAAGCACAGATTATTATCTATTGTTGTATGCCGATCAGACTAATAAATTATAATATATATATACAATTTAATTTTTAATCAATTAATTAATAATCATATATAGTAAATAATAAATTAATAAAACTAAATATAAAGTTTCATCATTATCTTAAATAATTGCACAAGTTTGATAAAAAAATTAGATAAATTATTGACTTGAAAATAAAAATGTTTTATCGTTTTATAGTCTCGTAATCTACGAAGGCGGTAGCGTAATGAGTCAAGCGAGATCTTTATGGAGATTAGAGCTTGCCAGGACAAAATGGGCAGGTGGTTTTATTAACTGGTTACATCCTATGAGGATCAGACACTTGACGACTGGACGTTATCTCGGCGTGAAGGAGAACAACGAGCTCTATCTGGTCGATAGGTTATTATTTATTTTTAGAAAAAGTTCAAGGGTCATGGAAATTCTTATAGGTTCACAATGTTTCCTAAATCTACAATTTTTTTCCGAAGGAATGAGGCGACGATCGAAACCTCGACATTTTGGTTACGACAGGAAAAGGACGATCAAAAGATTGTTCTTGAGGATAAAGATCTGGAAGTAATCGGATTACCGATTATTAAATACGGTGACTCTACTGTCATTATGCAACATGCCACCACGTGCCTCTGGGTGTCTTATAAGGTAAATAAGAAAATAAATAGTTAAATATAACATATAGAATATAGATAATATTAAGAAAATCAAATTTCGATTAACTTAAACTAAACATTTCTTTACACTTTTGTAAAATATATTTAATAAAATATATTTAAAATAGATTTAGAATATATTTAAAATTTTAATAAAGGTTTTCATGATTACGGGACATTCTTTTAGTCATACGAGACGAAAAAGAAGGGAGTTGGAAAAGTTGAAGAGAAGCAGGCAGTACTTCACGAAGAGGGTAAGATGGACGATGGTTTAGATTTCTCCAGATCTCAAGAAGAAGAATCTCGCACTGCTCGCGTCATTAGGAAGTGCAGCAGCTTGTTTACACAATTTATCACGTGAGTATTAAAAGTAAAAATATTTTTAAAAATATAGAAAACAAAATAAATATAATTTGTACTAAAAATTTTAAAGAAGATTAAAACATATATATCAACCATATATTAAAATATAAAAAAGAATCTTGCTAAAAATATCGAACATGTTTTAGAGGCCTAGAAACGCTGCAAGTGAATAGAAGAGCGTCCATGTTTTTTCAAAACGTAAATCTTAATGAGATGGTAATGTGTCTCGAAGATTTGATTAATTACTTTGCTCAACCCGAGGATGACATGGGTAAGAAAATTGACCTTTTTAAAAATATTTGTTTAAAACATGTCATTAATGATAGATTTCTTCAGAACACGAAGAGAAGCAGAACAAATTTCGAGCTCTTAGAAATCGTCAAGATCTCTTTCAAGAGGAAGGCATACTGAATCTAATTTTGGAAGCTATCGACAAAATTAACGTAATCACTTCACAAGGATTTCTCGTCGCTCTTTCCGGTGATGAGAGTGGCCAAGCTTGGGACCAGATATCTGGATATCTTTACCAATTATTGGCGGCTATTATCAAGGGTAATCACACCAACTGCGCCCAGTTCGCTAACAGTAATCGTCTCAACTGGTTATTCAGTCGATTAGGCTCACAGGCTTCCAGCGAAGGAACTGGAATGTTGGACGTACTTCATTGCGTCCTGATTGATTCGCCAGAAGCTTTGAATATGATGAGGGTATCGTATTATTTTTTTTTATAATATAGATTATTTGAGAAATAATAATTCGAATAATTTCTTGTAAAATAAAAATTTTACGGAATAAACTGTAAAGAATTTTAAAGAATAAATTAAATTCGTAGTAAATTTATTTGTTGAATAAATTTCATTTATTCTATTTATGAATTTTTAAATTCTGATTTATAAATATTTTTTTCAGGACGAGCACATAAAAGTAATTATTTCTTTATTAGAGAAACACGGCAGAGATCCGAAAGTTTTGGATGTTTTGTGCTCACTATGCGTCGGTAATGGCGTTGCAGTGCGTTCTTCACAGAACAATATTTCTGACTTTTTATTGCCCGGAAATTTGCTTCTTCAGACGCAACTGGTGGATCACGTAGCCAGTGTTAGACCGAATATATTTGTCGGCAGAGTAGAAGGTTCAGCTCTTTATCAAAAGTGGTATTTCGAAGTAACTGTGGATCATATCGAACAGACGACGCATATGATGCCGCACTTGAGAATCGGATGGGCAAATACTGCTGGGTAAATTAATTTAACATACGATTTTCAGATATCAATTTATGCTCAGAGTGCTAAAATTAGCAAAGCATATTAAATATGTTATGTTAATAACAAATATAATATTTAGCATTTTTTTTTTAAATTAAAGTTTTTAATATCGAGAAAGCTAATAATGTAAATTTTGAATTAGCTACATGCCGTATCCCGGCGGTGGTGAAAAGTGGGGTGGAAACGGCGTTGGCGACGACTTATATTCGTTCGGATTTGACGGCGCTTATCTATGGACCGGTGGCAGAAAGACGCAGATCGTTCAGAACTCTACGGAACCCTATATCAGAAAAAGCGACGTAATTGGCTGCGCCTTAGATTTAACGGTGCCTGTGATAACATTCACTTTCAATGGCAATCGTATCATGGGCTCTTTCCGTAACTTCAATTTAGACGGCATGTTCTTCCCCGCTATTAGCTGTTCGTCTAAACTGTCCTGCAGATTTTTACTGGGTGGCGATCACGGCCGATTAAAGTACCAGCCGATGGAGGAATTCTCGCCGTTAGTAGAGAGTCTCTTGCCGCAGCAGATCCTTTCATTGGATCCGTGTTTCTATTTTGGCAACATGAACAAGGTGGTCCTAGCAGGTCCATGGTTAGTCGAGGACGACACCGCTTTCGTTCCAGCCCCGGTCGACACCTCTATGGTCAATTTGCCTTCCTACGTCGAGCAGATCAGGGACAAACTCGCAGAGAATATTCACGAGATGTGGGCGATGAACAAGATCGAGGCCGGTTGGATTTACGGCGAGGTCAGAGACGACTTAAGAAAAATACATCCCTGCATAGTTCAATTTGAGCGACTACCGGCTGCAGAAAAGCGCTACGATACTCAACTGGCCGTGCAAACCCTGAAGACTATCTTGGCTCTAGGATATTACATCACAATGGACAAGCCACCGTCTCGAATTAAAACTTTGAGGCTGCCGAACGAACCGTTTTTGCAAAGCAGCGGATATAAACCGGCACCGCTTGATCTGTCAGCAATCACGTTGACACCTAAAATGGAAGAGCTCGTCGACCAACTAGCGGAGAACACACATAATCTATGGGCGAAAGAGAGAATCAGTCAAGGATGGACATACGGATTAAACGAAGACTCGGAAATGAGAAGAAGTCCTCATTTGGTACCATACCCGAAAGTCGATGAAGCTATCAAGAAAGCTAATCGAGATACGGCCAGCGAAACCGTCAGAACTTTGTTAGTTTATGGATATATGCTTGATCCACCCACTGGAGAACAACACGAGGGTGAGATCTTTAATTCTTGTTTAATATGCACGTTTATAAAAAATAATTTTTATATCAATTATTTGTTGATAATAATTACATATACCTATTTTTTAATAAATAATAATATTATAGTATACAATGAATTATTTTATAACTTTCTCAAATTTTGAATTTAATTGCAAAGAGCCAAATACATATTAAATTGAATAAATTTTTGCTGACTGTACTTTTCTGAATATATTTTTTGGTATATGAAATTCCGCATTTATTTAATGTATTTAATTTCTGATATTTATAGCATTACTTTTGGAGGCCAGCAGATTACGACAACAATCCTTTAGGACTTATAGAGTTGAGAAGCATTATGCAGTTAGTGGTGGAAAATGGTATTTCGAGTTCGAAGTTCTCACAGCTGGACCGATGCGCGTTGGTTGGGCAAAGGCCGACTGTATGCCAGGAAGTATGCTGGGCAGCGATGAAAGTACTTGGGCATTCGATGGTTACAACGTAAGTATCGATTGTCTCTTTTCATAATCTAATGATTAGAATGGCATTATACATTTATGGAATTTAATAACTTTTCTAACTAATAATTAAAAATGATAATCAGTTATATTTTTATAAAACGTAATCTCAATTTCCAAATTACAATTTAATGAATAAATAATGTAGAAATTTATTGAACAAATTTTCGTATAAAAATTTTTTAAAGAGATATATCATTAATTTAGATATAAAAAAAAATTATTAACTTGTTAAATGCTGTTATTATATTGTATCGTAGTTTTAGTATTGTAGTTACTATATTGTAGTGATAATCTTTCGTATAATACTTGACTTATTATAGCCACGAAAGGTGAGAACTTTAAAACTCGCGTTCATGAATTTTTTTTAACGAAAATATTGAGCAGCGCTGTGTGCAATTTGTATATGGCATTCTGTTAAGGCGAATTTAATATTAACATAAGTACTACGTGGCTTTCGCTCGTGATCTATGAAATATGAATAATGATATAAGAACATGAATGTCAGGTGACTAAAGTACACGCTGGCACCCACGAGTCATTTGGTCACAAATATCAAGTGGGCGACATAGTCGGATGTTTCATTGACGTGGCAGACCGAACGATCAGTAAGAGTCCCATCTTCCAAATTAGCCGATCTTTAAAAGCCCCAATTATACGTATACACATATTTCTCTTTGTTCCTGAGTTTTCTCGTCACTACTATTGTCTTTGTCTCGCTCTATATGTTTCTTTCATGTTGACTTGGTTTTATATATTTTGCATCCTTGTCCCAAAACAAATGTTAATCGCTGGTGAAATTTCATTCGGCGAGGTGTGGCTTGACCTTTATCGATGTCGAGGGAGTCCACGAAATTTCCTCGCGATATCTCTTTCTCTCTCTCTCTCTTTAACTTTGCACTACGCCGAAATTTTTCGCACGAAATCTACACGACGAGATGTGTATAGGGATAAAAAAAACAAATATATACAAGGTATTCTAGACCCACCGCGCATAAAATAAAACATCTCGTTTATCGGATTGTCCTGATCTCCGAGCGGAAATGTTGAACTGGTGAACATTTTGTTTTAAAGGAGGAAAAAGTATACTCGGGCACGGCCGAAACGTTCGGCAAACAATGGCAGGTCGGAGACGTTGTCGGTGTTTTCCTGGATCTAATTGACCGAACGATTAGTAAGACGGAATTTTTAAGCGAACGCTTCAGCTGCCATTTCAAGCTATATATATATATACATATATATAATTTGATCTCTAATAATAGATTACTGGATACAGACATTGTGATTTTCAATACTGGTTCTTTAAATAATTATTTGCATGACATAATAATTCTACTTTTAACAGTGATCAAATAAAGACTAATATTATATAAATGTTTTATGAAACACATTAAATATACAATGCAAATGAACAATTTTATCATCTCTGTCAGCGTACAAAATTAAAATAATATTTAATGTAAAACACACGACTCATTATTTATCTAGATGAACATTTATTAAGCAAAATTTTGCGTCGCGCATTTTAGAGGAGAGCTTCCATTTCGCCTAAGCTTTCACAAAATAAAAGCTGCGATAAACAAAAGGAACGATCATGCATTTTTGCACGGAAAATATTTCATCTCGTCATTTCGTCATTTTAACACGTTATTGTTAACCGCTGTAAAACCAGAGATAATCCTGGTTTCTATCATCATTAATACAATATATTACGCTCTCGATCGGACGAAAATCATGTCTGGCCCAATGTCTTTTCCGGTATCCAGTATTCTACTCAGTGTTTATACTGTCAGCGAGACACAACAGTGCTTTCATAACTCATATCAATTAATCACTAACACCAGGGTGTGACCCCCAAATATTATATCGATCATATCACGTACATTCTAAATAATAATTCTCAAATACAATAACAGTACAATGAAATATTTTGCAAAACGTCACACAAATTGAATCAGTATCGAAAAAAATATCCCTGATTAAATAATCGATATATATTTCCCTGTTTAAAGAATTATAATTTTTATTTTTTTTTATCTCGACTATATATATATTTATATTCAGTTTTTTATCGTGAAATGATTATTTTAGTGCATCTGTCTGTGTGTAATAATATTATACATATTTGTGGTTTTTATTTCGTCCTTTTCAAATAACGTTGCTTGTATGCATATTCTGCCTAAATTTATGTTAATGGATCGTATGAATAAAAAAATGAGACAAATGTCTTAATATCAAATATACATAAATGAATATTTTAATATTTCTATTTTTTTGCAAGCAATAGACAAAAGCAAATGTCTTTATTGAATTTGATTCATACGATCCATTTCAGCACACCTGCTTTGCTATAATCGTATATGTAACATTTGATAAGTATTTCTAATTAGTCCTTAAACATTTTTTATATACTCAAACTGTTAATTTGTAGAAAGTTAAATGTCATATAACATTTTTAAATAATTATAATGACTTATCGTTTAATTTTTAATTGCTTGGCGTTTAATTTATGTTGTTTTTCAATAAGCTGAAACGAATGTTTGACATTTCAATAAAATTGAATAAGTAGAATTATTTGTGTTAGTAATTTATTTTTAATATTTTTCTATATTATATTTTGTTTTTTGTCCGTTCGTTTTGACTTTTTGCAATACTTGATACAAGTGCATTGGGGTACAAACTTGCGAATTATTCAGGCTTCTCCTTAAATGGAGAACTGCTGATGGATGCACTCGGTGGTGAAACTTCTTTCGCCGATGTGCAAGGCGATTCTTTCGTGCCCGCATTCACTCTTGGCGTCGGTCAAAAGGCAAGATTAACATTCGGCCAAGATGTGAATACGCTGAAATTTTTCACTACCTGCGGTTTACAAGAGGGCTACGAACCGTTCTGCGTGTAAGTAATATATTAATATATTATATATATTATTATTAATATATTATACATTATTATATTATATCATATTTTTGGAATTTGGAGACGAAAAATAATAGAAAATCAATGAGTCTATTAATGTTATTCTCAATTATGAATGTCCATTTTTATATCGTAGAAACATGAATCGTCTAGTCACATATTGGTATACGAAAGATCAACCTATCTTCGAGAACACCGACGACATGGCCGATACGCGAATCGACGTGGCTAGGATACCAGCTGGTTCTGACACACCACCGTGTATGAAAATCTCTCACAACACGTTCGAGACTATGGAGAAAGCTAACTGGGAATTTCTCAGACTATCTCTGCCTGTGATTTGTCAATCCACCTTCATAACAGAGGGTGAGAAATTACGAAGATGGCAAGAGATCAAAATGCGACAGAATAGACTTTTCGCCGAGCAAATGGAGCAAGGACAACAAGCTGCACCGTCGGCTCATTTAGAGCAGATTATGAAATCTGGCTTCAGTATGAGTGACATCAAAGGTAATGATTTTTTTTTAAGTGTAAATTTTTTTCAAATATACCTTTTGTTATGTCTTATGACAGATAAGTTAGTAATGTTGATAATAAAAAATGTAAAATGTTGTTTACTGTTGCATAATTTTAGGCAAATTTGTAAATAAAATTATTCGTAATTAGAATATATATATATAATTGTGCATATATAATGTTAACTAGGTCTGCAAAGAAATTACTCGGAAGATGCAGTCGAGGCGGATGAGATGTTAAAGGAATCGCCGCTTCCTATGCAAAGAGGCAAACCTGCCAGGCCGCCTAGGAAAGGTTCTCTTTATGGATCGCGTATGGATACTTTAGACAACGCGGTTAGCGACGCTGAAATGAATGGATATGGCGAGATGAATGGTGACATAAAAGATGAGAAGAAGAAACGCGGTCGCTCGCCTTTTCGGTAAGCATAAATTATTAATGACTATTGCCTTTAACAGACGTTGCAAAAGACAAATTGACTTCGGTACTTGACTTTGTTAGCAAGCTTAGCAAAGAGATGGAGGATGTACCGTAAGTTGAAATATTTATCTTTCAGTGTATATAAAAATGTAAAATGATGATTAAAAGTATTAATAGTATTTTATTTGATATCTCGATAATCATTTATAATTATTACTTGTTTGTTTAACAATTAATTTTTATCGCATGTAGATTCTTTTCACGCAAAGCGAAATCTCCGGATGCAAAAGCAAAAACACCTGAGCCGCAAGTTCGTTCGGATGTCTCTGACAAAAGTACGAAAACAGTCGGAAGTAAAAGTGCCAAAACTCCTCAAATTCGTGTTTCAAACGTAAATATATAGAGCATTTTATATACATATTATATGTATTATTTTTATATGATTTTATATACATATATTAATATATAAAATTATGTAAAAATTCGATAAAAAATTAAAATTTAAATTACGTTAAGAATTATAAAATTTTATAAAATGTCTCTTTATAGACGGACTTAAAAGTCGTGCCACCTCAAATCCCGGAACGTAACGTTCCTAAAACAATGTCTGTGTTAACCGGAAGTGGCGTCGAAGCGATCGGCAATGAAATCTTTGATGCTGACTGCATGAAACTAATGAACGAGTATTTCTACGGCGTCAGAATATTCCCTGGTCAGGATCCGACTCACGTTTACATTGGCTGGGTTACTTCGCAATATCATTTGCATACAAAAGACTTCAATTTGTCTCGCGTGAGAAAAGCCTCCGTTGCCATCATGGATGACTACGACCGTCTCACAGAACAGTATGTTTTTAATACTTTTTTATTGTATAATTAAAAAAAAATTAAAAGAGATACTGACTAAACAAATATTATAAACATGATAGAGTCGACAGACAAAGCTGTTACATGGTTCGAGCGGATGAATTGTATAACGAAGTTACACAGGATGCATCGGGCAAGGGTGCATCTCAGGGTATGTTCGTCGGGTGTTTCGTCGACACCGCCACAGGATGGGTATCCTTCACCTGCGAAGGCAAGGAAACGAGTCACAAGTTCAAGATGGAGCCTGATACAAAACTGTTTCCTGCGATCTTCGTTGAGGCTACCAGCAAAGAGATCCTACAGATCGAGCTTGGCAGAACTTCAACGACACTTCCGCTCTCGGCGGCAGTGCTGCAGAATTCCGAACGACACGTGATACCGCAATTTCCGCCTAGACTGAAAGTGCAATGCTTGAAACCACATCAATGGGCTAGAGTGCCGAATCAGTCGCTTCAAGTACACGCCTTGAAACTATCCGACATCAGAGGCTGGTCGATGCTTTGCGAAGACGCTATCTCGATGCTGGCTCTTCATATACCCGAAGAAGATAGATGCATCGATATTCTGGAGCTTATCGAAATGGATAAACTGCTCAGGTAAAACATTGACAAGATATTTGTAAAGCAAAACATTCGAAAATAATTTTATCTAAATTTTTTAAAATTCGATAAAATAATTTCTCTTTCTTTTTCTCTTCTGCATAGTTTCCACGCGCATACATTGACGTTGTATGCAGCTTTGTGCTATCAGTCTAATTATCGAGCAGCGCATGCTTTGTGCCAATATGTTGATCAGAAACAATTGTTATATGCGATACGAGCCGAATATATGTCCGGACCCCTACGACAAGGATTTTACGATTTACTTATTGCCTTGCATCTCGAATCACATGCGACAACGATGGAAGTGTGCAAGAACGAATACATAATTCCGCTTGGTAAGAACTTACGTACATTTTTAAATCGTCAAAACTTTATATAAAATTACAAATTAAAATCGACTTAAAACACATTCTTCATATTTAATTTCTATATTTCTAATAATTTATATTTATATTCTTGATTTTGTTAATTAAATATTTAATTAAACAATTTTATGTCTTTCTCGACCAAATATCTCTGTTTCTTATTATGTTATAATTATTTATATTTATATTTATATCCATTGCAGGTCAAGAATTGAAAGAGTTATACGAGAACAGCGAAATGAGACATAGTCTCAGATATTTAGAGACCGAATCCATTCGGCCGCAAATGAAGATGACAGAGATCAGGTAAGTAAACTTTTCCTTCAAATAGATGTGAGACCCTTACTAATCGATCGCCATCAAGGAATGTTCCTTCTAGTGATCAAGCAATTGAGAACATAAAGAACCTGTACAGCCCGTATTTTCCACTTGATGTCGTGCGAGATTACGTGATGATGGCGCTTAACGAGGCTGTCGAAGTTAATCAAGTGCACAATCGAGATCCGATCGGAGGCAGCAACGAGAATCTCTTTTTGTATGTACGATAATAAGTCTGGCCGCTCTGTGCTGCAGCTGCTGCAACTGTTATTCTTCTTGCTGAATGTTCTTCGTCAATGTTACCGGAGCAACGATATAAATATTTAAGGCGTAAAAACAAAACATGCAAATTTATCTACTCCTCTTTTAAACAGGAATTTTTTATTTTTTGCTTATCGCTTACGGCGTTTCGTTTGGTAATCGTAAATATTATTTGATATGATTTCAATCTTACAGACCTCTGCTGAAGCTGGTAGATAGATTACTCTTGGTAGGCAAGTTGAGAAACGAGGACATAAGCAAGCTGCTCATCATGATAGATCCCGAAACCTGGGACCCGACTTTCGATAAAGGCAAGCCGATTAAAAAAGTAACGTTCAACTATTAGATGTTAATAGATGAAAAACATAATTTGATACAACAATTATTAAACTGTTGTAGAAGGGAAAGATGAACACAAGAAAGGCTTGTTACATATGAAAATGGCCGAGGGAGCGAAACTACAAATGTGCTATCTGCTTCATCATTTAAACGACATTCAACTGCGTCATCGCGTCGAGTCTATTATCTCCTTCGCCTTCGACTTTGTCGGAGAATTGCAAGCGGATCAGTTACGACGTTACATAGATATCAAGCAATCGGATTTACCATCAGCTGTCGCTGCCAAGAAGACTAGAGAATACAGATGTCCTCCGCGCGAACAAATGAATGCCATTTTGAGCTTTAAGAATTTAGACGTTGAAGAAGATCCGGATAATATCCCCTGTGGCGAGGATCTCATTGTAAAAATGAATGACTTCCATAGCGAGCTAATGTCCTACGTGTCTTTAACTGCTCTTCAAGAAGCAGACAATGCCGCGAACGAGCCAGCCGAGGAAGTTCAAAAACCTGGTGCTATGAAACGTCTCTTCAACTTTATCAACGCTGTCAAAGAGCTCGAGGAAGAACCTAAGCCTGAAGCTGAACCTGTGAAAAAGACACCCGAAGGTACTTTCCAATTTATTTTTCGTAATTTTAATAATGAGATATTATTGAAAATATACAATTAATAATCAATTATATGTTTTTTGCTGTTCACAGAGGTGTTTCGTAAGGTGTTGATATCGACCATCGTGAGTTGGGCCGAGGAATCACAAATTGAGACGCCGAAACTTGTGCGAGAAATGTTCAGCTTATTAGTCAGACAATACGATACAGTTGGCGAGTTGATCAGGGCTTTGGAAAAGACGTACATCGTCAACAATAAGACCAAGGACGATGTTGCGCTTATGTGGGTCGGTTTGAGCCAGATTCGCGCCTTGTTGCCGGTGCAGATGTCTCAAGAAGAGGAGGCTTTAGTACGAGAAAGACTGTGGAAGCTGGTGAATAATCACACATTCTTCCAGCATCCCGATCTCATCAGAGTGTTGAGAATTCACGAGAATGTAATGGCCATTATGATGAACACCCTGGGAAGACGCGCGCAAGTTCAATCCGACGCTCAAACTCAAGCTCAAGCAACTGAGGGAGAACCATCGAAAGAGAAGGACACCTCTCACGAGATGGTCGTGGCCTGCTGTAGATTTTTATGTTATTTCTGTCGTACATCTAGACAGAATCAGAAAGCTATGTTCGACCACTTTGATTTTTTGCTAGAGAATAGCAATATCTTGTTGGCAAGACCCTCCTTGCGAGGATCAACGCCTCTGGATGTGGCTTATTCGTCGCTGATGGAGAACACCGAGTTAGCTTTGGCTTTAAGAGAACATTATTTGGAGAAAATCGCTATTTATTTATCACGATGCGGCCTGCAGTCTAATTCGGAATTAGTGGAAAAAGGTTATCCCGATTTGGGTTGGGATCCTGTCGAGGGTGAACGTTACCTTGATTTCTTGAGATTCTGTGTATGGGTCAATGGTAAATTTTATCTCATTTTTATTTACTTAATTCTTTAAATAAATTATCTAAAAATAAGATAAATGTGTGTGCAGTATAAAAGTTATCTCATCGAAATTCTTTCTTTCTTTAACATATTAGATGAAAGTGTGGAGGAGAATGCAAACTTGGTAATTCGTCTACTAATCAGAAGACCAGAATGTTTAGGCCCTGCTCTTCGAGGCGAGGGTGAAGGTCTGTTAAGGGCTATCATAGATGCTAACAAGATGTCCGAACGCATTGCCGATAGGCGAAAAGTAAGATATCTAATTTTTTTATTTAATTATTTGCAAAACTAAGGATTATAATCAAACTATTTCGTAAGTAAGAAACCGTTTTGCTTTTGATTGCTGTAAAGTTTCTTCTATATATTTTTTATTCTGTGCGTCCCTAGAAATTTGTGAATATATTTTTAGAATTTATATATACATATGTATTCTTATTAAAAAATTTCCCCAAAATAATGTTTTAAATTCCGATCTGTTCTCATACATGTGTGTCGTAAAATACATATGATTTAATTAATTTTATTACATTATAATTGTTTTCTTACACAAAATCTCCCCTTACGATTAATTTGAGCTTAGTTCCTTAAAACTTGTAATTCATACAATTGCATTTAAAAAAAAAGACAAGTTCACTAAATGTGGCATAAAATGACTATGCACCACTATGTTAGTGATTTATTTGCGAATAATTTTTGATTTTCGATTAATACGATATCAACTTAGTATCTCGCACAGGTACACGATGAAGCCGAAGGGACAGCTATAATGATGCAATTCGAGCATCCTCTTCCGGAGTCAGATGACGACGAAGACTATATAGATACAGGCGCGGCGATTCTAAATTTTTATTGCACTCTCGTCGATCTATTAGGCCGTTGTGCTCCAGATTCTTCTGTCATAGAGCAAGGTAATGCGTTATAATTCAAAGAGTGGGACCTTCACATTTTCATTAATATAAAAATCACGATCTAATTATGTCCTAATTAAAATGATTAAAAACTGGGATTTATTCTCATTTCAGTTATTTAAAATGAACAATATAAATATTATATAAATAGAATATATAATAAGATAGAGAAAGAGAAATTAAAAAAATGTTAATTAGAATTAAAAAAGATTTCAAAATATGTTAATTTTCTTTAAATTTATGAATACATGAAATATATGATATAAGAGCAGATAATAAAATAATAATTTATATATTAAGAATATATCAGAATATGACAAAAATTTTATTTAGATTTATTGAAATTGTTAAATTTATGAGTAAATTCTTACTTCGCACATTCATTGCACGCATATTTTTCGCAACATAAAATCGTTAAAAATTCATTATTACATGCAAAGTGCAATGAATAACAGCCATTTATTTTTTTCTTAATGAGCAACAGAGGCCTCGACAAAGTCAGTTGGTAATATACGAACCAAAACTTTGCTTTGATATAATTAATATCGAAACCACGTCTCTTTATTTGAAATAACGCAATTATTTCAGGAAAGAACGAATCTCTACGAGCCCGGGCAATCTTGAGATCATTAGTACCCTTGGACGATCTTCAGGGTGTACTGTCTTTGCGGTTCACGTTATTGAATCCCGCTGCCGGTGAGGAACGACCAAAAAGCGATACACCGTCTGGTTTGATACCAGGACACAAACAAAGCATCGTATTATTTTTGGAGCGTGTTTACGGTATCGAAACGCAGGAATTATTCTACAAATTATTGGAAGAAGCGTTTTTGCCGGATCTTCGCGCCGCTACTATGCTCGACAGAGTGAGTTATCATTTTATCTATCTTGAATGTAATTTATTCATTATCCTCAAATCACTTATTTATTATTCTAAAATAATAAAAGTGAGAATAAGAATCTTTAATTGAAAAGTGAAATAGTCAAGAATCTATACTGACACGCATTACTGACTGATCTAATTTTTTTTCACAGAACGACGGATACGAATCTGACATGGCACTCGCTATGAATCGTTACATAGGAAACAGCATTTTACCATTGCTAATTAAGCATTCGAAATTTTACAACGAGGCAGACAACTACGCGAGTTTACTCGATGCTACGTTGCACACGGTCTATCGACTCAGTAAGAACCGAATGCTGACGAAGGGGCAGAGAGAAGCTGTTTCGGACTTCCTCGTCGCGTTAACCAGGTAAGTAAAAACTTCTCCAATTTTAATTAACTAATTAATTAACTAACAATAAGACTTCTCGATTTTAATTAAGACTTTTGCTGCTTCTCATGAAAATTCCATATATTCATTATCTTTGTTTTAAAGATTAATTTTAATCTCCCTTGTAGCCAGATGCAACCGAGCATGTTGCTGAAATTATTGCGAAAACTGACCGTCGACGTGTCAAATTTGTCCGAGTACACTACCGTTGCTCTCAGAGTAAGTTGATTATTTGATTATTTATTGTTTAAATTACGTTCTGTCGTATAATTAAAAATTAATCGCAGTAAAATCTCGTTAATATATGCTAGTAATTTTATTCTTTTTTAGTTATTAACGCTGCATTACGACCGTTGCGCGAAATATTATGGCTCTACCGGCTCTGGAGGTCAAGGCACATACGGTGCATCGAGCGACGAAGAGAAACGCCTCACGATGGTTCTCTTCAGTAATATTTTTGATTCTTTAGCCAAGATGGATTACGACCCAGAACTTTTCGGAAAAGCTCTGCCATGCTTAACGGCTATCGGTTGCGCCTTGCCGCCAGATTATTCTTTGTCGAAAAATTATGACGACGAGTGGTACGGCAGCAAAACGGCCTCGGCCCAATCACCCGATGGACCTTACAATCCGCAACCGATAAATACATCTAGGTTATTGTTATTTTTTTATTATCAAAATTCTATATAATTATATTAAATTATAATATATTAAGATATACAAAAATATTCTTTCTCTAATTATAAATAATAAAAATAATAATTGAAAAATAACAGAGTAAAAAAATTTGGCAAGTCTATTATTTTGATATTATTTTTTTTTTTAGCGTGGCTCTCAATAACGATCTTAATCAAATAGTACAAAAATTCTCCGAACATTATCACGACGCTTGGGCCAGTCGTAAATTAGAAAATGGTTGGACTTACGGCGACCAATGGTCAGATGTGAATAAAACTCATCCGAGGTTAAAACCGTATAATATGTTGAGCGATTACGAGCGAGAACGATATAAGGAACCTGTTAGAGAGAGCTTGAAAGCTCTTCTGGCGATTGGTTGGAGCGTAGAACACGCGGAGGTCGACGTGCCGTCGACTAATCGCAGTTCTATGAGAAGGTCTTCCAAAAGTCAAGTAAGAAAAATTATTCACAAACGTCATCATATTTATGAAAAAGAAATATACGTTTTTCACACATTTAAAATATGTAGGGCGACTCGGCGAATCCGTTTAATTACAACCCTCATCCGGTGGACATGACTAATTTGACACTAAGCAGAGAAATGCAAAATATGGCCGAACGTTTGGCAGATAATGCTCACGATATTTGGGCGAAGAAGAAGAAAGAAGAACTTATTACTTGTGGTTAGCTGATATCTGATTACTTGCTGCTCTTCTTAATTTTCATTAAAATTAAAATTAAAATTGAATAATTTTCTCCGATTGATACATATTTTATAATTGTAGGAGGCGGCATCCATCCTCAACTAGTACCTTACGACCTGTTGACTGATAAGGAGAAACGAAAAGATCGCGAGCGATCGCAAGAATTTCTCAAATATCTGCAATATCAAGGCTATAAGCTTCACAAACCTAATCGTGGCGGTGAAACCGAAGTGGCTGGAGCCGCTGCTGCGGTAGAATTAAGATTCGCTTACTCGCTCTTGGAGAAATTAATTGCTTATCTGGACAAAGCAACGATCAACATGAAGCTCCTGAAACCTTCTGACACATTTAGTCGACGAAATAGCTTCAAAACTTGCACAAGAGACATCAAATTTTTCAGTAAAGTAGTTCTACCACTGATAGAGAAATATTTCAACACGCATAGAAATTATTTCATCGCTGTGGCTACCGCCACGAATAATGTCGGCGCGGCGTCCTTGAAAGAGAAGGAAATGGTGGCCGCTCTCTTCTGCAAGCTAGCGAGTCTGCTGAGATCGAGACTCGCCGCTTTCGGTGCGGATGTGAGGATAACAGTTCGTTGTTTACAAGTGCTTGTGAAGAGCATAGATGCCAAGAGTCTCGTGAAAAATTGTCCGGAATTTATTAGAACGTCCATGTTGACTTTCTTCAACAATACCGCCGACGATTTGGGCCATACGATTCTGAATCTACAAGAAGGGAAGTACAGTCATCTCAGAGGCACTCATTTGAAAACTTCCACATCATTATCGTACGTTAATAGCGTCGTCTTGCCAGTGCTTACTTCAATGTTCGACCATCTTGCCGCGTGCGAGTATGGTAGTGATTTGTTACGTAAGTATTTAAAATGAATTAAATTGAATTAAATTTACATAATTAAAATAATTATATGTATATATATTTCACATATAGAACTATTTTAGTATAGAACTATTTTAATAATTATTTGACAATTATTAAATTACATAATTATTAAAATAATTTAATAAATAAATATATATATATATGTATATAATTAGTTTAATAAATTTAGAATTAAGTTATGTATGTATATATATGATTTAATCATAATTTTATCTCTTTGTCCAATAGTCGACGAAATTCAAGTAGCATCGTACAAAATGCTGGCGTCTCTATATACTCTCGGAATAGATGCTAGTTTAACGCACGACCGAAAGTACCTAAAGACTGAGATCGAGCGACACAAACCGAGTCTGGGTTCTTGTTTGGGTGCCTTCTCAAGTTGTTTCCCGGTAGCTTTCTTAGAACCGCACTTGAATAAACACAATCAGTTCTCCCTCTTGAATCGAATCGCAGATCATTCTCTGGAAGCTCAAGATATTATGACAAAGATGGAATCAAGTATGCCGACCTTGGAGACGATTCTCAACGAGGTGGATCAATTCGTCGAATCTGAAAAGACTTACAACGACGCTCCTTATATCGTCGATGTGATTCTACCTTTGTTATGCTCCTACTTGCCCTTCTGGTGGGCTCAAGGGCCCGATAACGTGAATCCAACCGAAGGTACCTACGTCAGTATGGTCACTAGCGATCACATGAATCAACTGTTAAAGAACGTGCTGAAGCTAATCAAAAAGAATATCGGCAATGAAAACGCGCCGTGGATGACGCGTATCGCCGCTTATACACAACAAATTATCATCAATTCGTCTGAGGAATTGCTGAAGGACCCGTTCTTGCCTCTGGCCGAACGTGTCAGAAAGCGAACGGATACCATGTTTCATAAAGAAGAGTCTCTTCGCGGTTTCATCAAATCCTCGGCCGACGATACATCACAAGTCGAGGCGCAGATACAGGAAGATTGGCAACTATTGGTTCGCGATATTTATTCGTTCTATCCTCTGTTAATAAAGTATGTCGATCTTCAGAGGAATCATTGGTTGAGAAACAATATTCCTGAGGCCGAGGATCTATATAATCACGTAGCAGCTATATTTAACATCTGGTCCAAGTCGCAATACTTCTTGCGTGAAGAACAAAACTTTATATCTGCGAACGAGATTGATAACATGGTACTCATTATGCCTACTGCAACCAGAAGACCTGCTACAGTATCCGATGGTAGTGCGCCCTCCGGAGGAGGCAAGGTATAACTTAATTGTGTTCATTAATAAGCATTTATATCCTTGAGAAAAGATCAAGATTAAATCATTCTCTCTTCGACTTTCAGAAAAAGAAGAAACATCGCGACAAAAAAAGAGACAAGGACAAGGAAGTACAAGCATCCTTGATGGTTGCGTGTCTAAAACGATTGCTACCTGTTGGTTTGAATCTATTTGCTGGTCGCGAACAGGAGCTGGTACAGCATTGCAAAGATAGATTCTTAAAAAAGATGGAGGAGAACGAGATCGCGGAATTTGCTAAAATTCAACTGACGTTGCCGGATAAAATCGACCCCGCTGACGAGATGTCCTGGCAGCATTATTTGTATTCTAAATTGGGCCAGCAGAAAGACGCGACAGAGCCTGTCAAGGCTCAACAACTGGAAGATGTCGTCGTTCGAATCACCGATATGGCGAAAGTTTTGTACGGTTTACACATGGTTAGTTATAGAAATTTATCTACTTAACGTTGAAATAATTTTCAAAATTTTCTCGATATTTAAAATTACTCAGAATAATTTTCAAGATTCTTTTGAAGAATTTTGAGATTCTTTTAATTTGCTGAATCTTCATATTTTTTGTGATCACACTAGAAGATTAAAAATGCCATATTGTCATCTGAGGATCATTTGTCATTGTTCTTTTTAAGTGATTGAAATATTCATCATATTTATTCCATATTCTTATGTTCTCGAGTAGATAGATCATCCACAACAGCAGAGCAAGGGTCAATACCGATCTGTGGTGTCGATCCAACGTAAACGAGCGGTAATCGCTTGCTTCCGTCAACTTTCCCTACATTCCTTGCCCAGGTATCCTTCTTACCATTCGGTTACGTTTTTTGCTTCAAGTTGATTCAAATTAATTCAAGTTAATCTTTCAGTTGCACACAATGTCGTTATCAATTATTTTAACATCATTAGAATCATCTTAATTTTGAGTTACATCAAATGTCATCGATGCATTTTGCATTATTTTACGTAGAATTAATTAGCTTTTTTGCTATTTATTAATCAAAGAGAAATATTATTCGATAATAAGATTAATCAGTTTTGAGAGTTCAATTTAATACTAATCGCAATGATTAATAAACATAACTGTTAATAATTTAATGAGAATGCATTGCTATTTATGCGTACGTTAACAGGCGACAAAGCCACCGCCATCGCGAGATGGATGGAAACGCGTGTTATGCGCTGCCAGAAAAAGAGCAGCGATTGCATGCTTACGTAGTGAGCCTCTGTATAAATTGAGAAGGTATGACTAATCCAAATTAATATCCACTATATGTACACAAAGCATTTTTTTATGTGTTAATATTAACACATGTGTTGTTAACTAATACATTGTTTCTTAGAATATGTAACGTTGTAGGTATATGTATAATTTTATAATTGTTTTTAAAAATTTCTTTTTTCCTAGGCACCGTGCAATAAATATTTTTGCGCGAACGTATTATGAGATGTGGCTACAAGAAGAAAATGTAGGTCAAGAAGTAATGATCGAGGATCTTACGGTAATTATACTATTATTTTTGATTCATTAAAAATATTTAATATAAATTATGTACACGCACATAGTTTCATATTAAAATTTAAATGTGTGTATATATATTTTTTCTCTTTTAGCAATCATTCGAAGATGCTGAATTGAGTAAAATGGATAAAGCTGAGGACGAAGGCAAGCCAGATCCATTGACACAATTAGTGACAACATTCTGTCGCGGTGCGATGACTGAACGATCAGGCGCGCTTCAAGAAGATCCGCTTTATATGAGTTACGCGCATATTATTTCCAAGTCTTGCGGAGAGGAAGAGGAAGAGGGTGAAGAGGAAGGCGGTGGCGAGGGTGGCGGTGAAGAAGAAGGGGGAGCTTCGATCCATGTAGGTATCTTTAATTACTCAATTTTCATTTGTAGACAGATGATAATTTGAGTGAGAAATAATCGAATCCTTTGATAATTTCCCGGAATCTATCGCATTAACAAATTCCCTATCTTTTTCTAACTTACTAGAAGCTGGCGCGTAAGCTACTTATGGTAAGAATAAGTAGTTAGTGCGAGAATTTATCCGCTTTAATGTATGCTCGCAATCCAAAGTGTCAATCATATATGTTCTCCGCATTTCGATATCCGAACCTATGTAATTGTACACTATCTTATTCATTGAAACGTCAAACGATGTAAAATATCATTCATAAGCAAAAGTAGGCTATTGCGATTGTTTTTCTAGTTTTTTAATTTTAACATTTATTGCTAACAATATTATTAAATTATATATTCTCTATTTTAACGTAACTCTCAAGAGGCCCATGCATAAACTAATGGTAAGATATTGATTTGAACGTCACAGATATATATATATATATATATATATATATATATATAAGTATATCAAAATAATACACGTAAAATCAAAGTTGTATTTTAAATAGTAGCTAATTTAAAATTGTATAAAAATTACATTATAAATTACTATATGTTTTGTTTATAAATATATTATATATTTAAACATTATATATTTGTGAAGTCATTTATATAAAGTGATTTTACTTATTATCCTGTGTAACTATAGGAGCAAGAAATGGAAAAGCAGAAGCTCTTGTTCCATCAAGCTCGCCTAGCGAATCGCGGCGTCGCGGAGATGGTTCTCTTACACATATCAGCATGCAAGGGCATTCCCAGTGAGATGGTCATGAAAACTCTAGAACTTGGAATTTCGATTCTGCGTGGCGGTAATATCGAAATTCAGCGAGGGATGTTAAATCATCTCAAAGAGAAGAAGGACGTCGGTTTCTTCACGTCTATCGCGGGTCTCATGAACTCTTGCAGCGTATTAGATTTGGACGCTTTCGAGAGGAATACGAAGGCTGAAGGACTCGGAGTCGGTTCCGAGGGTGCAGCCGGCGAAAAAAATATGCACGACGCTGAATTCACTTGCGCCCTATTCCGCTTCATCCAACTCACTTGCGAAGGTCATAATCTCGGTAAGTGTATTATGTTATCGTTATTAAAAAGTCAATTTAATCGAGTGACATTTCATCATTCTATCGTATCTACAGATTGGCAGAATTATCTCAGAACACAGGCTGGTAATACGACGACAGTAAATGTTGTCATTTGCACTGTCGATTATCTGCTGCGACTGCAGGAATCGATCATGGATTTCTACTGGCATTACTCAAGCAAGGAGCTTATCGATCCTGCCGGCAAGGCAAACTTCTTCAAGGCTATTGGTGTAGCCAGTCAAGTTTTCAACACTCTTACAGAAGTTATTCAAGGTCCATGCGCGCAAAATCAACAAGCTTTGGCACACTCTAGATTGTGGGACGCGGTCGGAGGTTTTCTTTTCTTATTCTCGCACATGCAGGACAAGTTGTCGAAGCATTCGAGTCAAGTAGATCTTCTGAAGGAATTATTGAATTTACAAAAAGATATGATTACTATGATGCTTTCTATGCTTGAAGGTATGTATCTTTTTTTTAAATTTTATTTGAAGAAATAAATGTTTAAATTAACATTTAATGTAATTTAAAGGCAACGTGGTGAACGGGACAATCGGAAAACAGATGGTAGATACCTTGGTCGAATCGGCAAGTAACGTGGAACTGATCTTGAAATACTTCGACATGTTCTTAAAATTGAAAGATCTGACATCATCGTCCAGTTTCTTAGAAGTTGATCTTAACAATGACGGATGGGTCTATCCTAAGGATTTCAAGGAGAAAATGGAGCAGCAGAAGAGTTATACCAGGTATGTTTAAAAAATATCAGCATTTTCCTTTTGAATTATTTCGTCTAACAGCTGATGAATTTTAATTCAAAAATTTTTTAGCGAAGAGATCGAGTTTCTCCTGGCCTGTTGCGAGATGAATCACGACGGCAAGATCGATTACGTGGCTTTCATGGATCGTTTCCACGAACCGGCAAAAGAAATCGGTTTCAATCTTGCCGTATTGCTTACCAATCTGTCCGAGCATATGCCTAACGAACCGAGATTAGCCCGATTCCTCGAGACAGCTGGCTCCGTCTTGAATTATTTCGAGCCATTCTTAGGCAGAATCGAGATTCTTGGTGGCAACAAGAAAATCGAGCGTGTGTACTTCGAGATCAAAGAATCGAACATCGAGCAGTGGGAAAAACCACAGATCAAGGAGTCAAAGAGAATTTATTTCTATAATACAGTGGTCGAGGCCGGCGAAAAGGAGAAACTCGAGACCTTTATTAATTTCTGCGAGGACGCGATTTTCGAGATGCAGCACGCGAGTGCGTTGATGACCGTCGAGGAAAGCGGCGGCATCGGCAAAGCAAGGGAGTCCTCGTACACGTACATGACTGATGATGACGAAGAAAGAAATAAGGATCCGATCAGACGAGGTATACAAGCCTTCAAAGACGGCATCTATTACTTCTTCTATATGTTCTCGCCGACCAATATCAAAACAAGATCGCCGAAATGCAACAGATGACGATTCCTGAGCTCTTTGTCGGCTTTTTCAAGATGATTTTCTACGCGTTCTATTATTCCGGTTTTGGCGTTGGCTGTGTAATCAAGTACTTTATGAGACTTTTATTATCGCTAATGAGAGGACCACAACTAGAGGAGCCTGTTGTCGTTAAAGAGGAAGAGGAGAAACCATCAAGACATTTACCTGCGTTGCCACCGACACCGGATGAATCAAATCTACAGGTAAGATTTTTTCGATATAATCTAAAAATGCTACAAATATAATACAACTCTAAAAAATTACTTTAAAACATTTAAAAAATTTTTTATTAATAAAAAATTAATTAAAATTAATGTTAAATATTTGTGCAGGTGCAAGCCTTCGGAATGGATATAACGAAAGAGGAAGGTGGGCAAATAAAGATAGCACCGCATGAATCTAGCACTTCTACGCCGCAATCTAGTATCGAAGAGACGGGTGAGAGCACACCTGATGAGGGTGCGGGTGAAGAAGGAGCGACAGCTGAAGGGGGAGAAGGTGAAGCACCTGTCACTTTAGCTGACTTACTTGGGTTAGTATGCAACCAATGTAGCTACTAAGAAATAATACCTATATTTTAAACATCCGGGTTATTGAGCGTAATATAAAGCAAGTAAATATTAGCTATAAAAAATAACGAGCATATAGATGAATTATATGTAATAATAATTATTTAAATATGTAATAATTATTATTAATATATATATATATATATATATATATATATTAATAAGCTTACAAATTATTATTTTATAATTCGACACTTTAATTTTCTTATGTCAGTATACATATACATACGTATATCATACGATAAAAATCTACGCTTTAAAATAGATTAATGAAACGGAATGCAGAAGATATTTTGTTGTTATATCAATTTTTCGTCAAGTTAAAGCACCTCGAAATTCGATGTACCGTAGATATGAATGAATGCGAAACATGCGGTTACTACGTTACGATCAGCTGATCAGCTAAAACACTAGTAATGTCGTGTTTCATATAAAACTGACTCTCTCTCTCTCTCTCTCCATCTCTCTTTCGCAGCGAATTAAAATAAATTGTATTAAAAAATGTATACTTTCTCGTTTTAATGACAACAAAATCACATGAGAACTATTATCCTTTTTATTAAGAACTGTAATATTCGTTTTCATTTTGTAGCTGCAAATAGTATTTAAATTATGTATGAAATTAATTTTTAATGGCATTGCTTGTGTATGACTATTATTTTCTCTTTAATTAAATGCTTTATCACGATATTTATACAGCGGCGAACAGGCTCGAGCTCAAGCCGCCGCGGCAGCCGAAGCAGCGGTAGCTCAACAAGCAGCCATGGCAGCGGTTGAAGCTGAAGCGAAGCAAGAAACCATAGCCGAACCTTCTGCAGCATCGAGTATCGATTTATCCCAATATGGTCACCGCATAGTGTCTTTCCTAGCCCGAAATTTCTACAATTTAAAATATGTCGCGCTGGTTTTGGCCTTCTGCATTAACTTTATGCTACTCTTTTACAAGGTTTGTAAAACAACATAATCGTAATAGAAAGCTTTGTATTTTTTAGAAATGAGATTCTAAGATCAATACTAAAGATTTCATAAACTCATGTTATGTATCTTTATAGATCTAAGTAAGAGAGAACGTGTTTCATGTTTTTTTCTGTATGTGTTGATTTTAATCTAGGTTACGTCTTTGGCTGACGATTCGGATGAGGAAGATAATGGTACAATAGCGGATATATTAGCGGAAATATCGGGTGACGGTCCATCGGGTTTAGCAGGGAGTGGTGTCGAAATGGGCAGCGGAAGTGGTGACGATGGTTCGGAAGAAGAAGACGATGAGGCTCAGGAATTCGTGGAAGTGGCTGAGGATTATTATTATATGGCTCACGTCATGAGACTATTGGCTGCTCTACATTCTATCGTTTCACTCGCTATGCTGGTTGCATATTATCATTTGAAGGTATATTTGACAAAGATGAATAATTTAGATTAACTTATAATTATATTTAAATGATATATATTTATATATTAACATTTTAAATTTTATATAAATTATATATTTATGTATATATAATATTTTTCAATAATATAATATTTTTGAAAATATATGTTTTCATGATTTAGATCATGAAATATATTTGATTAACATTATAAAATATATATATCTTTTTCAGGTTCCATTGGCTATCTTCAAACGAGAGAAGGAAATTGCACGACGAGTAGAATTCGATGGATTGTATATAGCCGAGATGCCGGAAGAGGATGATATTAAGGCACATTGGGACAAAATGGTAATATCTGCAAAAACTTTCCCTGTGAATTATTGGGACAAGTTTGTGAAAAAGAAAGTCCGGCAAAAATATAGCGAGACATACGATTTCGATTTCATCAGCAATTTGCTCGGAATGGAAAAGACTTCTTTCGGCCAACAGGAAGATGAAGGCTCCGGCTTGATACATTTGTAAGTGAATGTCTTGATAATATTTTATATTTTTTGATAAGATTTTGTATGAGATGACAAAGACTGATGTTTTACAGTATTATAAATATCGATTGGAGATATCAAATTTGGAAGGCCGGTGTCACCATTACGGATAACGTAAGTACTTCTTAAATAAATTCGAGAGAGGAATTTTAATTAATTTATATAATTTTATAAATATATTTTTATATACAAAAATATCTATAAATTCAAATATTCGTATTATTTCATTTCTAGGCATTTTTATATAGCTTGTGGTACTTCATATTTTCGATCCTCGGAAACTACAATAATTTCTTTTTCGCCGCTCATCTGTTGGACGTTGCGGTCGGTTTCAAAACTCTGAGAACGATCTTGCAATCAGTAACGCATAACGGCAAACAATTGGTTTTGACAGTGATGCTGCTAACAATTATAGTATATATCTACACCGTGATAGCTTTCAATTTCTTCAGAAAATTCTATATACAAGAGGAAGATGATGAAACAGATAAAAAATGTCATCATATGTTAACGGTATGTGCTGTACAAAATAATCTTTATCTAAACTTCAACTCTGCGTAGGTTATTTTAATTTCAATTTTTTTCAGTGCTTTGTTTTCCATTTATACAAAGGCGTAAGAGCTGGCGGTGGTATAGGCGACGAGATCGGTGAACCCGATGGTGACGATTATGAGGTTTATCGTATAATGTTCGACATCACGTTCTTTTTCTTCGTGATCGTCATTCTATTAGCTATCATTCAAGGTAAGGCGCACGATTAATTTTTCGATTCGCAATAAAAGGAGAGTCCGATGTAACGTCACATATCAATTCTCAGGTTTAATTATTGACGCATTTGGCGAGCTTCGAGACCAGCTCGAGAGTGTGAAGACCAATATGGAGAGTATGTGCTTCATATGTGGTTTAGGAAAAGAATATTTCGATGCGGTGCCGCATGGGTTCGATACTCATGTTCAGCAGGAGCATAATTTAGCAAATTACATGTAAATATTTCGTATTTTTAATTATATAATGAAGAGTGTCTTAAATCGTTATTTATAATTGTTGATCTTCTTCGATCAACAGGTTCTTCCTTATGCACTTGATTAACAAACCGGATACCGAGTATACCGGTCAAGAAACTTATGTGTGGAATATGTATCAACAAAGATGTTGGGACTTTTTCCCGGTGGGTGATTGCTTCCGTAAGCAGAACGAGACCGTAGAAGAAGAGGCCAAGAAAAAGTAAAATTAATCTCGACTTTAATTAAGAAGTGACCAATCGATCGATCAATCGATCTCACTTGTCGAAGAGGACTTTTCTCTCCTCGAACAGCGTCTTCGATCATTTTTAGCGTCAATTCTTGCTCATCGGACGGAAATGTAAAGTCGACGTCCGTTAAAAAAAAAAATCAAATTTTTAAAATTCTACGTCTTACCTCATATCGACGAGAAGAGATTTTACCTCGTAAAAACTTGTGTCTCCGTTTTCCATTTGACAATTTATTGTTATTCCAACTAATTAGTAGATTGTGTCTCTCGCGTGTGAATCTAGTGCATTAATTATGTACTGCGTGTGTAATAAAAAAGATGTCTGGACACGGAGAATTTCGCGCCTGACGTCGAATCGCGCGCATATAAAATTAGAAATATTTTTCCAACTTTGTAAAGATAACTCGAACGCGCGATACCACAGATAATTTTCTCTTTTAGATAATCGATCAATCCAAGGTTGATAAAAGCTCTCGAACGACTTCCTTCGACCGACGGTACATTATTGTTGAATCGGCGGAACCGCCTGCACAAATTTACATATTCATAGCGCTACAATTGCCTTCTTTTCATACGTCTAGATCTACGATCTATACTTGTGCATAATTGGTGCGCTGTATCGAAACGATAACAAGTTTGAAATATATGATATAGTATAAGTAAGTTAAAGATATTCAAAGTTTATATAATGTGCAAATCTCTTCGATTGCTATATAAGGATGAAAACTTTTTGGACATTATTTATGACTGAGCTCACAGTATATATATATCTGAAAATGTCAATATATTGTAAATAAAAACGGCAAGACTATCTGGTAATAAATAACGACCTACTTCTTTACCTCGTTGTCCTAAAATCTTTCCTTAATTTTATAAATTGCATGTACTTTCATTACGTAAGTAATCTTATAAAAAAAAAAAAACTTTAAAATCTAAATATCGCAAATTAATTAATATCTCATATTTTCGTTTAATTTACATTGCCGTAAAAAAATGATTAAAGTTTGAAGTTGATTTAGAATTTTGAAATCATATTAAAAATGTTCATGCTTTCAAATATTGGAGAATAAATACTAGTCTTTTACGATCGATATGATCGATCTTCGAGGCCGGAATTAATTTTGTACGACGTCATATCGCGCGTCGATATGGTGATATAGTAAAATCTCATATTTCCCATCGCGCATATTTTCGTTTAATTTACATTGCCGTAAAAAATGATTAAAGTTTGAAGTTGATTTAGAATTTTGAAATCATATTAAAAATATTTATTTCTGAGTCATATTAAAAATGTTCATGCTTTCAAATATTGAGAATAAAAACTAGTCTTTTACGATCGATATGATCGATCTTCGAGGCCGGAATTAATTTTGTACGACGTCATATCGCGCGTCGATGTGGTGATATAGTAAAATCTCATATTTCCCATCGCGCACGATACGTACCTAAGGGAAACAAGAGTGAGAAAGAAAGAGTGAGAGAGAAAGTGAGAGAGTAAGAGAGAAGAGCAACAAGAGTAACGGCGTGTCCCTTCGCGTCGAGGAAGGAAGGAGGTCGCGCAAGCGCTTCGGTCCAGCAGCTCGCCGGCGAGGGACTCTTCAGGGTGAAAATGCACCATGGCATGGGTGTACCGGTGGGCGATCGTCACGGTGTTCAAAATCCGGCGATGCAGGCCAGAAATGGAGTGTGCGATAAAATAGAAAATTACATATCCGAGTTAGGCCGATGGTACGTGAGTAATCGCGGAACCTGAACGCTTGCAAGAGCTACTGCGTGTGTTTTCCGCCCTATACCATTTTGTAGAAACGGTGAGGTCGAGCAGGAGGGGGCGAACGACCCGGGCATAAAAGTGGCGGGTGTTTAGCTACGTTTCCTCGTGATTGATATAACGACGAAAAATTGTGGAGTAATTTCGCTTATTCGGTAATCTTAGTTTAAATCGCTGATATCTCGGGCATAACAATATAATGCGAGTGATAACGAATCGACATTGTACGACAATACGAAGTGTTGTATAGTAGTATCTATTAGTGTAGTTTTACGTGTGTAGAATTCGTAAACCCTCTCTTTGCGAAAATATATTTCAGTATTTTTTATTTAAATAGATTTATACAAATCTTTGATTTCTTTCGATTAATTTAGAAATTTGTAAATGTTCTTTAATATATAAATGAGATAATTTGTTTATTTTTGTATGACATATATGTGCTTCACCGGTCGACTCGAAAACGCGATTCGGTCTGATCAATCTAGGATATTACTACTTAAAGTAACGCGAGGAGATATTTGATAAAAAGTGAATAATTCCCTTCAAGAAAAATCAATTGTGCATATTGTTTTCCACGTAAAATATATACATTTCTTGTGTAGAGAATATAAAATTTTAAATAATTAATTCTTATATTTGTTAAATATAATAAAATTAATTTGCCTTATTGAAATTTGTTGTTAAAAATGTGGAATTATATAATTTATAATACATACATACATCAATATACACACAGATGTAAGTTCCAAATAAATAACAATTATTTTTGTTAATTCGTTATAAAAACAGGGCAGTATGGAGAGCAATAATAATGGGCCAGTTTCTCTCGTTGGTGCTGTGCTGCATGACGTTCGTAAATCATCATATAAACACCGCTCCGCTTTACAAGCTTTCGCTTCCAACAGGTAATCTATTTAAATAAGAATTTTGCACCTCTGCGTTAAAATTTTTACTCATTGAATGCTCAATCTTCGCTTAAAACTTTTCTCTCCATTTATTAATCAATTATCATCATTTTTGCGGGACAGGGCAAAATCTTCCACATTACGTGATGATGTGCTTAGTTTATACAACGTGGATGTCCTGCAGAGGTGTTGGGAATGGCCTAATTTCCGTCATAAGAGCCCGTGGCTGGAGATACTTGCTGTTAGCACTGATCGACGTTGAGGCATGCACGCTTATTACATCGTCGCATCAATTTACTAGCCTCGCCAGCATACAGGTGTGTGCGTGAATATTTAAGAAGATATGTCAGAAACCTAGTAAAACGATACAGATTCGAATATGCTGATTAAATTTCTTATTTTTCAATGGAAATTTTATAACGGATTATTTAAGATTTAAATAATTTCATACTTATTTATCTGTACGTTCATAAATTTTTTATTGAACCTACCATTTTTATACTACGAACGATCTATGACAATTTTCCACTTTCGCGATTATTTTCATTCGTGTTTAAAAGAAAGTCTCATTGAGACGTGACTTTTGTCATTTAATATACGATTTCCTACCATGCACAACTTTGTTCGTCTATAGTTTGTACTCGTGTTATCTAACAAGCGTAGTACTTGCGTCAGCTGTGAATGACGTATAGAACAGGTATTGTAACTGCACGGCTATATAGCGAAAAGGAGGACGATGGTCCTCTTCGATCTAACAATGCTCGTTGTCCGAGCCATTCATTCTTAATCAAACCTGCTGCAAACATAACGAACCGTCTAGTGCGTGCTTTAAATGTATTGGGCACTTTTATGCACAATATATAAATATTATTATGAAAATTATTAATATATAAACTACTAACAAAAAAACGATAAAATATATATTTTTAGCTTCTTGACTGCGTGGCGATACCGGTTGCCTTGGTACTCTCATTTCTAGTACTAGGCGTCAGATACCGAATGGTACACATCGTTGGTGTGTCCGTTTGTTTAATGGGCGTGGGATGTCTGGTTTGGGCTGGTATAGATGACAATAACGATCCTACGGCTACCGGTAATTACTAACCATGAAATGCAAATAGATATAGCTGTTGCACGAGAAGAGGGCACAAAGAAAATTATTATTACACACTTTATCGCTATTGCCAATGTCTGTCTTTTGTGACGTGTCGCAGCTTTCATACTTATATTTTTTTCCTGCATAATTATACTTTTATAGTAAATTAAAATTGTTATTATAATTAGTATTATTTTTCTCACCAGGAAAAAATCAACTCGTCGGCGATATGCTTTGTCTCGGCGGCGCGGTATTGTTTTCGGTGACGACGGTTTTGCAAGAGCTGGCAGTAAAAACAGTCGATATTATTGAATATCTGGGCATGATCGGTTTCTTTGGCACAATATTGAGCTGCATGCAAACGTGAGTACCTCACAATTAAAACTGAGACTAATGAATGCCTCGAATGAGAGTTATTTTTTCCACGATCGTTTCAATATAGCGCCGTACTCGAGAGATTTCAAATAGAGGCATTCCACTGGGACAACGCACCCGTAATAATGATCCTGATTGTCTATTGCATCGCGCAATTTATGTTCTTCTCCCTGGTGCCGGTAATATTGTTTGAATCCGGTGCTACCGCCTTGCAGCTGGCACTACTCACCTCGGACTCCTTTAATATATTAGTTGGAATGCTTAATCATCATTACAAGGTAGGCCATCGATCTGCATTGCGAGTATCATCATTCGATGCGATCCGTCACATGCTCTCATCTTCAGTCAATACTTATTTATAGATGCATAACAAATGAAATCTCTAATGTACATAATTCAGAATTAACTTTTCGGTACATGTATATATAGGTAAATATTGACATTTTTCTCATCGACTGTTCTAGTTCCACGCACTGTACTTTGTTTCGTATACACTCACGATGACTGGCATATACATATACGCAATAAAGAGAACACCGATATCATCGAATTCACGAAGGCAGCACATCGAGCCGCCTATCCCAGATTACAGGTAAAGTTTGCGAATATAAATTAATTATCGGTATCTCCGAAATAAATAATGGATTAAAATAATGGATAGCATCAGGCTTGAAATATGTATATTCTAAAATTCCAAATAATTGAAGACACATGTCCCACCCCGACGTCGGCGAGGTAGAGATGGCTACGAGTTCCGGAATGTCCGGAGTGAGCGGCACCCTCGATATCAGGGCATCTACCCTTGGTAGCGAAAGGGAGACAATGGACGCAACGAGCCTACCCTTAAGCGTTAGCTCCGACACGGCCTTCACCTCCTTCTACGGCAGTCAGGCGAACTTGAAGGTAGCATCAAGATCAATGCCACGTGTATCCTCCAATTCGTATTTCGATACGAAAAACTCGTCTTGATATATGTCGGGGAATTTGACACGAGTTCAAGGTTCAGGTGATCTCACGGATATCCGAGGCAGATGGAATCCGCGTAATTAAACGAAATTCGTTCGAAATCCATTTATTTTTTCGATTACAAAATAATATGATTCTGCATTATTTGTCGTATAACTTTATATTTAAAAAAATGTTTAGATACTTCTTACTTTTCAAAAAACAGCTTTGAAATAAAATAGATGTCATTTGATGATTATATTTGATGGTACACTCGCGATATGGCATATTATAATGTGCAACGATCTATAAACTATAAAATAAATTTTTAACTCGCGCGGTAATTTATTTGCCTCTGATAGCGTGATTTCTTTATTTGAACTTGAAAAGATGTAAATGAAATCTGTGACAGTTTCAGGCTGCGAACGGGAAGAGTGATTCTGCCTGTAATTAATAAGCGGAAGAAAACGACTGCCTAGAATAGAATATCGCGCGATTCCCTCATTCAAAAAATGCAACATTTCTCAAAAAGGGGCCCTTAAAAAACGAACGAAAAATGTTTATATATATTGACACAATGACGAACGATAGTACATATACAGTCCAAAAATTCTCTTTTTTGATAGCCGTATAAAATTATTATTACATAATCTTAATTATATTTAACAGACAAGGCAATAGTTAGATTGACTTTAAGTAGCATTAAAATTCAATATTTAATATATGATATTTCAATATTTGGTATAAAATTAATAAATGTATATATTGTTTTTTATATAATTAGATATTATTTGAATAAGTGTAATTTAGAGTTTTTGTTATTTAGAGTTATTAATACGTAAATTGTTATATTATTTAATATTTGTAATATTTTTAATCATTACATTTTTCTAGCTATATCACATACATTCTCAATAATAATATTATAGTTAAATTTTGATAACATAACATAAATTTGATAACATAATATACCAATAGAATTCCATAAAAATAAGAGAAATGTAATTTTTACTTTTTAATTCATATTTAAAAATAATGATTTTGTATGGATTATGTTTTTGTATATTTAATTTAAACATCAGATCAAATTAAAGAAAAAATGGCCATAGAATCAAAAATGTATCCAATTAGATGATATTAATATTATCCTTCTAATCAAAAACATTCTCGGTATTGTTTATATAGATGTGAGGTAGTATAAAAACAAAACGTGCCAAATGTCAAAATCTATTAGCACTCAAATTGTAGATCTAGAATCTAGAACAATGTGAATGCAAACGTATATATACTCGTTTTACGTACATTATGTACTCATTTTCACTTGAATTTTTTATATTAACACGAAGTATCTTCGTGGACATTTGTTATAACTATTACAATCGATATATTATAGTATATATATAGATATATTTATAAGTTATATAATAACACAGGTTAATCGAGAAAGAAAATTTTAGATAATCGATAATCTAATGCGACGAACTCGGTAATTAATGTAAACGTAATTAATATGATGTAAAACGACTTCGTAACTATGTAACACTGTTCTATTCTTCTATTACAATAGTACGATTTGCAACTATAATGAACTTCATCACCAATGCAAACAACAATTAAAACACTATACTCATTTATATTCTCAATCATAATACTATAATATAATTAACAATGAAATCTACTAATGCAAAAACTAATAGTCTCGTCAATAATCTACTTTTTTGTTGAGATCAATAATCGTAATGAAATCCCGAGGGATTTACACAGGGTGAGCAGAAAATCTAAATTCGACACAATTCTAATCTGATATTGTTACACGTTACTCAAATATATTATCACAATTATTCAAGAAATCAATTAATCTTATAATAAGTAGCTAATATATAATACAAGTTAAGAATACCGAAAAATAAGGTGCTAATTTAAAGTAAAAATTTCCTATATTATATATAGTTGATTATCCTCTTTAACTATATAAAATGTGTTCATAATATTTTATTCACAGATTTTATGATAAATGAAAAATTAATTAATGATATTAATTATACACACACGTATGTACACAATACTCTTTTATGCACTAAAAAGTCTCGTTTCGACAACTATATATATATTATCTCTTATATATATATGGGTATATGTGAGATAACAAATATTTTCGTTTTGACATTATTCATAGAAATTATATAAAATGAAAACAATTGATATATGGTATATGACTATTATATGTGCATTGTTTAATTAATTATTAGATTATTATTAATATTTGTATATATGTATATATTTTATTTGTTGTGATGTTATTTATTATTTATCTAAAAAAATTATGCATTTGTATACTTAAAAATGATTTGTATATATTTTTATTTTTTGAAAATATATTTTAATTAAGACGTAGTATGATACGTGGTATTTTCTAATGTATCTTTTCAAGATAAAAATAGAATCAAGATTATAGAGTAATAGAGTTTCCTAACTATTGTTATTTCCATAGAAAAATTTTAAATTAACATTTTCATTGTCATTATTTTTATAACTTTAAATTTTAATAGATTGCAAATAATGCTCAAAAAATTCACAACAATGCTTATATTATTTATTGTTATGTTATTTCGAGTTGTAATCGTCTTTCTTTAATAATAAAATATTGTTTTACATTAAAAATAGTGATTATATATGAATATTATGTATGTAACAATATAATATATAAATAGATTAATTCATTTATGTTTACACAATATTTACATATTATACAAAAATTATATCAAATCTTTTTCTAAGCACAGATTTTAATTATCGTTTATATTAAGTAAGCGAGTTTTAAAATGCATTATATAAATAATATAGCATAATAATTTGTAAAGACTCTGAGACTGACAATGAGTTGTAGCAATAGTTAACTTATCTCTTTTTAAATCATAATTAATCTTGCTCATAATGTAGACAAAAGAAAGAAAATAATAAAGTTAGAGTTTTTAAACTTAAATATATACTTTCTCTTCAAATTTTAATTTATCTAATTATTCTCCTAAACACTCTGTCAATCTGTTTAAGTTTTTATATATTTTAAATCTTCAGATTAAAAAATTTTAATTCTTTTATTATCATTATTTTTAAAAATTTAGTTCATTATATATATAAATATATATTTTTTTGCCGATATATTTTTGATGATATTCTATGTAATGGTATTCAATCAATTGTATATAATATCTTTTAAATTATATATACACGTTAAATGTAAAGCTGTCAAATTGTTAGAGCAGGCTTCGCCATCATAAAATTATGCAGAGCTCAATAAGCTTTGCGAAGATTAAATTTTCCCGCATAACGAACAGTCATGATGTACGAATATCTAGATAGGATGTGCGTCACAAAGAGTGGCTATAAATAGCGCGCATGTGCGTGCGCACAAGCAAGAACGCAGAAAAAAACCGGACCAATCATTATTCGTTACATTATACATTTCTGGAGAAGCTTAAAGTTGATTGGTCATCGTGCTATTGCTGAAATTTATATTGAGAAGCCAAGACTATTAACTATATATACCACGATCGTATTGTATTGTATAGCAGTAGTTTCCAAGAGTTCTATCAGTGGGTATCATGTAGCAGTAACAATGGCGGGCTCTATAGAGATACCACTTCGCGATACAGATGAGGTGAATATTCCTTTTCTATTGATTATATTGTTAACTTACGAGTATCGTAGTGAGATTCCGATAATAATAAAAATATGCGAATTATATAAAATATGAAGTTTTCTCGACAATTGGCAATATCACCGTAAACTTAACCTCAACGAAGAAAGTGTGTTTTCTTTGACTTGGAGAATAGAAAACTCATGTATATATACAAAATTATAATAACTGATTCTAATGATACTGTTTCAACAATTTGCCGATTTAATCGATCATTTTTGTGAAAATTTTTAGGAAAAAAGTGTGACAATTTCCTTTACTTTTATCTTACTTTATCTGGATTTTCTTACTCCACATATGTGTGAATGTGAACATTTTTAAACATTAATTTTCTCTATTTAAACATATATTTTGTTTGTGTGTATCAATGCATAACAATGTAAATTAATTGCTCATGATTTTTTTTATACTCCAGATATACAATTTAATATAAAAGCTACTTTATTATTTTCTTTACTTCCATGTATTATAGTTAATACATAGTTCAAACATTATTTCTTCAAACAGTATATATATTTATAATATATAAGCTATGTATAAAATATAATAGTTTATTTAATTTATTGTTAATAGGAATATTAATTGATAGATGATAGAAATTTAAGCTCTATATATATATATATATGTATGTAGCATATGTTATTTATTAACAATCTTAATGATTTTTTTAAATTTCATAGGTTATAGAACTTTGTTTAGATCAATTACCAGATGGAGATGAAGTTCTTGGTATTCTGCGGCAAGAACATGCCCAGCTTAACATCTGGGTCAATTTGGCCGTATGTAGAACAGATAATTTTAATCAAGATAAAGTATGTACAATAATATTCACCTAACAAGTTTATTTTCCTTTTCAGCTTGAGTATTATAAACAACAAAAGATCGATGATTTTATCAAAATACTTGAATCGTCTCGTATTGATGCAAATATTGACTATCGTGACTATGAAAAAGATCAAATGCGAGCCCTGGACATGTTGGCTGCCTATTATGTCCAGGAAGCCAATAAAGAAAAAAATAAGGATAAAAAAAGAGATCTCTTTACAAAAGCTACATTATTGTATACAACAGCTGACAAGATCATCATGTATGATCAGGTATATATTGTTTTTATTTGAATAGCATTTATAAGTTTTTATATTGTATTTGCTAATTAATTATTAATTATTACAGAATCATTTGCTCGGTCGAGCTTACTTCTGTCTGCTTGAAGGTGATAAAATGGAGCAGGCTGATGCACAATTTAATTTTGTGTTAAATCAGTCACCAAATAATATACCTTCTTTACTTGGCAAAGCTTGCATTGCTTTTAACAAAAAAGATTATAGAGGTGCTCTTGCATTTTATAAGAAAGCTCTCAGGACTAATCCGCATTGTCCAGCTGCTGTTAGATTGGGAATGGGACATTGTTTTATGAAATTGAACAATCAAGAAAAAGCACGACTCGCGTTCGAAAGGGCTTTGCAGTTGGATGGACAATGCGTTGGTGCGCTCGTTGGACTTTCAGTTTTGAAACTAAATCAACAACAACCCGACAGTATAAGAACTGGCGTGCAGATGTTATCAAAGGCTTACACGATCGATTCGACAAATCCGATGGTATTAAATCACTTGGCAAATCATTTCTTTTTCAAAAAAGATTATAATAAAGTTCAGCATTTAGCGCTGCACGCGTTTCACAATACTGAAAATGAAGCCATGCGAGCAGAAAGCTGCTATCAATTAGCAAGAGCATTTCACGTTCAAGTAAGTCAAAATATTAGTGCAGCTAAAAGTATTTTTGTCATTATTAAATTGTCTTATATGTCGTGTAATAATAAAATTGAAATATTTCAGGGCGATTACGATCAAGCATTTCAATATTACTATCAGGCGACGCAATTCGCTCCACCGGTATTTGTATTACCGCATTTTGGTTTAGGACAGATGTACGTTTATCGTGGTGATGCCGAGAATGTAAGAACACGCAATACTATATGCTAACTAAAACTGTAATTGTATAAAGATATAACGTGATTATTTATCTAACTACAAGGCTGCC